AAGGAGAGGAAGAGAAACACCAATGATGAGAGAGAATAATTGATCGGCTGCTTCCTGCAAACCCCACACTTCGGATCGAGCTCACAACCCGGGCATGTGCCCCCTCCGCCACCCCCACCCCCACCGGGAATCAAACCGTGCCCTCCGGGTCCATCCGTCTGTGCTCAGCCCCTGAGCCACACGGCTGGGAAGAGGAGCGTCCCCTGGAGCCGCTGGGCTCGCCAGAGCCGCTCCCAGAGCAGCGGCCTCTGCAGAAGAGCCGTCTGGGTACGTGTGAACTCCCCCACGGCAGGACGACCGCTGGCAAATGTGCTGTGACGAGTGTAATGTCTTTATGCGAATGAGCGTAATAAATTATCAGAAAGAGCTGCATTTTTAATATCGCCTCATACATCAAGTTCCCTCTCAGCTGCCACAGGCTAGATTGCCAACGTTCCCGCCGCCTCGCCGGCGTGGGCATGCCCCTCGCTTCCGGTGCCAAGCCGTGTCCGGGCCAGGGCACAGGCGGCTCTCAGCCGAGTGGGTGGCTCCTGGGTCCCTTCCTATTTGCCCTAAAGGGACAGAAGGAAAACGGGGCTTCCTGCATCACCGGGCCCTGCAGAATGCAGCCCAGGCCGTCACACAGCAGGTGCCCAGTAAATATGTGTTTAAATTGGATCCATAAAGAAATGAGTGCTGAAACCGGTTTGGCTCAGTGGATAGAGCATCGGCTTTCGGACTGAAGGTCCCGGGTTCGATTCCGGTCAAGGGCATGTACCTTGGTTGCAGGCACATCCCCAGTGGGCGGTGTGCAGGAGGCAGCTGATCGATGTTTCTCTCTTATCGATGTTTCTAACTCTCTATCCCTCTCTCTTCCTCTCTGTAAAAAATCAATAAAGTATATTTTAAAAAAAGAAAAGAAAAAGAAATGAGTGGACAGGCGCCCCCCTCCCTCAGCCCCGGGCCCCGCCTTTGGGCTAGAAGTTGCCGTTACTCCAGAGAAGGTTCCATCTGCACAGCGTGCTGAGGGCGGTTACCGGGGAGGGTGGAGCGGGGTACCCGTCGGGCGGGGCCAGGGAGGGCCTCCCTCCCAGGGCACACGGACACCCGCCGGACGGGCTAGCCGAGGACAGCAGCCGCGGGCAGGGTAAAGGTCATTTCCGCCCAGATCCTGCCCCTTCCTGGAAGGAGGGGCTTTCCCTGGCGGTTCTCGGCCAGGAAGCAGGCCGTAGAGCCCAGAGCAGCGCGGGTCCGACCCCCTGAGGCTCTGCCAGAGCGCCCGGCCTCCTGGCGCGCGCACCGGGTGCTGCGGGGAGGGTGCGGGGCAGCAGAGCGGGTGAGCATCGGCGTGCGACAGCACCCGCGCCTTCTGGCCCGGCAGCTCTCCTCAAGGCGACTGTGCGTGGAAATAACCCCGGGGGCCTTCCAGAGCCCGCTTCTTCTTTTTTTTTCTTTTTTCTTTTTATTGATTTTTCACAGAGAGGAAGAGAGAGAGATAGAGAGTTAGAAACATGGATGAGAGAGAGTCATCGATCAGCTGCCTCCTGCACACCTCCTACTGGGGATGTGCCCGCAACCAAGGTACATGCCCTCGAGCGGAATCGAACCCGGGACCCTTCAGTCCGCAGGCCGACGCTCTACCACTGAGCCAAACCGGTTTTGGCCAGAACCCACTTCTACCTCATCGGAAAGAGCCTTTGTGTGTTGCTGGGAGCTTAGCAGACGGTGAGAGAAGCAATTGGAGGGGGGTGGGGGGGAGAGCGAGGGCACAGGGTTCCTGAGGGCTCTGACCAAGGGCAGACTCTACTCCCTTCACTTTGCCAAGGGCCGTTCTGAAATGCCGAGCCGCCCGCCCCGCAGGGGGCCAGAGGTGACATGACGGATGGGGTCTGGACACGTCCAGCTGCTTAAGGGGCCCACGCACGCCGGCTGGCACCCCGGCCTTGGCAAGTACCTCCGCTTCTCAATGCACGTTCCCCCTTCGTCCTCACCTGGTCCTGGCAGCAGGCAGGGAGAGGGCAGCCCACCGCGCTTCCCTGGTGGGGAAACCGAGGCAGGCGCAGGCCGGGAAGGCGGAGGCAGGAGAGCTACAGCTCCCTGACTGCCGGGCGCTGCGCGACGCACATGCCCTCCGTCCCCATCTCCAGGTCTGATGAGGTTCACAGCCTCCTCTGACCCACACGTGAGGCTGAGGCCTAGGGTAAGGGACTTGCCCAAGCCAGGCACAGCTGGAGGGGGCACTGGCCTTCGAATCGAGCCTGCCTGGCTCCGCAGCCCTCTCTTTCTAGAAACTGCACGCCTGCCCAGCTAAGGCCAATGCCACCCTCCAGGGCCCTCCCCCGTCTCCGCAGGGCTCAGAGCCGACAAGCTCAGGCCTCAGGGTGGCTCTCGACTCCGCCACCTGCCAGCCCGAGGGCTCCTAGCGTCCCTGGCTCCGTGCTTTGGAGTCTCAGTCCCCTGCCCAACATCTAGATCCTCCCAAACGCCTTCAGAGCCAAGAGCCTGGTCTTCCCAAAAGCCAGACCCACAGGAGGCCAGGACGGATCTGTCCGCCCTCTCCTGTCCCACCCCCGTGCACGCAGTAGAGCTTTGATGTCACAAAGAGCACAGGCACAGGGGCCAGAACATCTGCGCTCCCATTCCCAGCCGCTTCACGCTCCGAGGCCTCGGTTTCTCCGACGCCCCCAGTGAAGGAATTACGGAATGACGGCTCCGCGTCTGGATCTTAATACCCTGAGCCCTTACATAACGGCTCAGGCTGCGGCCACCTCTGGCTCCGGAGGGGGCATTCCGTGCCTATCACAGGGCTGATCCCCATAGCGTTCCTGGAAACGAGACGCCCATTGTGTTTGGCTTCCAGGCTGGCCGTCCTCCCCGTGGCCTTGGACTCCTGCAAGGCTGGACTTTGTTCTCGATCAGGATCCCAGATCGTCCTCAGGGAGCCCTCCGACCGGCTCATTCCCGCGGTGACCCCTGAGCCCTCTCGGCCCTCCCTCTCTTCCCCTTTTCCTCCCCCTCCTTTTGGACGGTCCCCACCCGGGAAGCTAAAGGGGAAGGCTGAGGGAGCAGGGTTTACCCGGCTCTCCACTGGGCTCTGCTCCCCGGGCTCTGCAGGGGGGAGGGAGAGACAGCGAGCGGGAGCGGGGCCTCAGTCAGGCAGGGCAGTGGGCTTCTACACCAGCTCTGCCACCAGCCAGCGACCTTCCTCACTGCGAAAAGGGAGCGGTGAGCCCCGCCTACGTCGTGGGCAGTATGAGGAATCTATGGGTGACAGCTTCAAACAGTCTTCTTTTTTAAAAATATATCTTTATTGATTTCAGAGAGGAAGGGAGAGGGAGAGAGAGAGAGAAACATCGATGATGAGAGAGAATCATCGATTGGCTGCCTCCTGCATGCCCCCGCTGAGGATCGAGCCCACAACCAGGGCATGTGCCCTGACCAGGAATCGAACCAGGGACCTATTGACGCTCAACCGCTGAGCCACACCCGGCTGGGCCTCTTCAAACACTCTCGACACAGAATGCAGTAGTTTTCAGTGACGGAGAATGACCATCGCTATTCAATGCAGAATTTGCCGTGAAACGACGTGTGGTTCTCCGTCCTTTCTCACCAGTCTCACCTCCCAAGGGCAGGGAGAAGAGAAAGCAGCCCTTATCTGTCACACTCGGTGGTAGATGGGCTATGAGATTTGAATTAGTTCCATTTCACAGATGAGGAAACTGAGGCTCAAAGGGATCGAATGATCTGCCAGAACGGTGCAGCTGGAGGTGATGGAGACAAGGCCTCCTCTCCTTTCTGCTCCCCACCCTCCACGGGGGTGATGGCGGAGGAAGGGAGGGGGGGCACAGGCTTGGGGCCCCTCATTCATACCCAAGGAAAGGACCCAGCCAGGAAGACAGTGTTTCTGATTGGTCGCCAGAATCCAGCGAGTCAACTCCGCCCATGCCAGGGCCTTCCCGGGACACACCTGTCTGAGCAGCAGCCATTCCCCTACCGAGCTCTGTTCCCGGAAAGCAGGACAGCAGCCAGGGCTGGGCTGTCTGGGATTTGTTTAGTTGTCTGACCACGTGAGGCCCAGAGATGAGCAGGCCACACCCTGCCTGGCCAGCTCAGCCTCATCCATCACTTCTTGGGAAGGGCTCTGACCACAGCTGGAGACCAAGGTTTCCCGGCCTGTTCCCATGGTCCCTTTAACTAGTCCCTGGTTAAGCGGGGAGCTAAGCTGAGTTTATGGATGTCCATATACGACCCGGGAGGACGTGTGAACAGACTGTGCCAGCAGTGACCTTGGCGAGCGGAGCAGGCACATGCTCGGCTAGTGTTGAGCAGCGTGTGCCCACGTTCCTGGGAGTGCGGCTGTGTATCCCACTAGATGTGTGTGTGTGGGGGGGGGGGATATCTGTGCAGAATCCTTCACCACGTCTATGGGGTGTTTGTGTGCCCTGGTGGGTGTGCTTGGAGGCGTGAAGGACTGTGCCCAGCCCCCTGCCCACCTCTGTGCCATGTGTGGGTGTGTTATGCTAGATAGAGGTGTTCTCAACCCACTCTGTGTGGACACCTATGTTGGTGTGTGTGTGTGTGTGTGTGTGTGTGTGTGTGTCCTGCAGAGATATGAGCTCGGGGCTCGTGGACACTCCCGCCAAGTGTGCACACCCGCTGTGCGTTTGGAACGCCCTTGCACACTGCGTGTGTCCTGTGAGGAGGAACGGACCCAGCCGGGGCTGGCACGGGCGGGAGCGGGCGGTGTGCGTCCTGCGTGCCTCGCTCCCCGCTCGTCCTGGACCGCGGCGCGCGGGGCGGCTCCAGGCGGCCCTGCCTCCCTCCCGGGGGCGCGCGCGGGGTCCGGCCGGCGGCGCGCGGGGTGAGCGCCGGGGAGCGCGGCTCGGCTCGCTCCGCTCCGGCTGCTCCGGCTCCGGCTCCGGCTCCCCGCCGCCCGCACCGCTCGGCTGCCGCCCGGTGACGCGCTGGGCCCGCCCCCGCCGCCGCCCCCGCGCTCACTCGCCGCCGCCGCCGAGCAGCCGCCGCGCCAGGGCCGTCCCGGGGCGCCGCCGCCCTCCGCGCTCCGCCGGTGCCGGTGCGGGTGCCGGGCCCCGGCCGGGCTGCGCCACACCGGGCCGGGCCGGGCGGGGCCGCGCCGCCTGCATGACCCTCCGGCGGCGCGGCGAGAAGGCGACCATCAGCATCCAGGAGCACATGGCCATCGACGTGTGCCCCGGCCCCATCCGGCCCATCAAGCAGATCTCCGACTACTTCCCCCGCTTCCCGCGCGGCCTGCCCGCCGCCGCGCCCCGCGCCGCCGCGCCCCCGGCCGCCCCCGCCGCCGGCCGCCGCAGCCCCGCCGACGGCGCCCGCGACGACGAGGAGGACGTGGACCAGCTCTTCGGAGCCTACGGCGCCGGCCCCGGCCCCGGCCCCGCGCGGCCGCCCGCCAAGCCGCCCGAGGAGGAGCCGGACGCCGACGGCTACGACTCCGACGACTGCAGTGAGTGCCGCCTGCGCCCGCCGCCGCCCCGGCCCCGCGCCCTCCGCACACTCCCCGCCGGGGCCCCGCGCCCTCCGACCCGGCCCTCCCGCCGCTCCCGCGACCCCGGCCCCGCGACCCCCGCACGCTCCCCGCCGGGCCCGGCCCGCCGCCCGGTCCCCGCGCCCCTCCCGCCGCCCGCGCCGCTCGGAGTGGGGGGAGTTTGGGGGCGCCCCCTGGGGTGTCCCGTCCCCGAGGCCCGGCTCCCGCAGCCCGCCCGCACCCCGTGTCGGCTGGAGCGCGGCGCGGCGGCGGCTTTGTTCCCGGGAAGGCGGAGCGCGCCCGAGAGACACCAGTTGCTGCCGCTGCCGGAGCTCCGTGCGGGGCGCGGCCGCGGGCGGCTCGGGGCCGGGGCGCGGGAGGGGGGAGGGCCGGGGCGGGCCGGGCGGCCTCCCGGTGGGCCCGGGGCCCCGGGGCGCGGCGGTGCTGCCGGCTTTGCCGGCGCGCGGGGCGGGGGCCGCGGCGGCGGGGCCGTTGTCTTTGGGGAAACCTTGGCGGCTCCTCCTGCGGGTGCGCGGACCCCGCCGCTGCGCTCGGGCCGCCGGCCTTCGCCACCTGTTACGCCCGCTCCCCGCCCCCCCGCCCCGCCGGCCGGGAGGGGCCCCCCAGCCCGCGCCGCCTCCTCCCGGGACCGAGCCCCAGCCCAGCGAGCAGGCGGGCACCCGGGTCCCGGGGCCGAGGCCGGCGGGCGCTCCGGGCGCCTTTCCCGCCTCTGAGGGTGCCCGCCCCGCCCGCCCGGACCGCGGGGACACGGAGGGTGGGGAGGCCGCTGCCCGCGCTCAGTGGGTTCGAGCCGGATGGGAGCGGGAGCGCCGTTTGCACGGCCCCCAGCCCGGTTTGCAGCCCAGCCACGTCATCCTCCTCCCTGGAACCGGCGCCAGACCCCGCCTGGCCCGGGATGGGGACCTTTGGAGCGGGGGTCGCCCGCGGCGTCGCCAAGGCCCCCTGCACCCCTTTCTCCCCCCCCCCCCCCCCGCCCCGCGCAGCGAGGGTGGCTTCGGGCCTCGGGCTGGGGGGCTGGGGGTGCTGGCGTGGCCTGCAGCCTACACTGTGCCTCCGACAACCGATGGGGGGTGATCAGCCCTGGGGGGAGCGGGGGAGGCGGTCACCCATGGCCCTACCCAGGAGGCCCAGAGGAGTGAGCCCAGAAGCCATCAGCTGAGGCGGTCAGAGCCCGGGCCTGTGTGGGAAAACTGCCCTCTGTGCACTTTCTCTGGGCCTGGACCACAGCCCTGCAGCCAGAGGCTGGGTACTGAGGCCCTGCTCCCCCACCTACCGGCCTGGGAGGGGAGCAGTCCTCTCCCCCCTCTTCTCTGCCCGCTGGGGAAATGGAATTGGGGAGCTGATTGGCCTGGGGGCTGTGCCTGGCTCTTCCCCACCCCCAGTTCCTGGCGCCCTGGCACAGCGCACCCGCACCCCCTCAGGTGCCGTGCCTCTGGGCGGCCCTAACTGGCCCCAGGCCCCCCCTCTGGATGTGCTGAGTCCGAAGTCGCCCCGGGAAGAAGGGATGGGGAACCCGTTCTGTTTGCAGCATTTTTCCTTCCACCCGGAGGGAGGGGGCGGGGCAGGCAGGGCTTCTGCCGGGCGTCAGGCAGCCCCCCAGGTGCCGCGGGGTCCTCTGGGTGACATACAGCGGAGGTGAGAAACGTGGCGTTTCTTTCGCCGTCCCCGAACCCGCAGGCAAGGGGGGCCGGACAATCCCCAGGCCCGGCCAGCCGCCACCTCTCCGGCCCGTCAGCTCAGCGCTCCTCGGAGCTCGGTCCTCACTGCAGACGGGGGCAGCGGGGCTGGGCCTGGGCCCAGAGCGCCCACGTGGCCCCACAGGAGACAGACTCCCTCGGGGTCCGCGGTCCGCGGCGGCCCTGGGCAGCGCCCTGCCTGCCTGGACCGTGAGCCGGTCACGCCCGTCGCCAGGGCACTCTGCCGGAAAGAGCTGGGGAGGAGAGAACGTGGGGGCACAGCCCACCCTCAGGGCCCGAGCACACCCCGGGCATGGGCACCCAGAAACCCTGGCTCCCGCGGCCGCCGCCTGGCTCTGACCACCGGATCCCCGGGATAAGCCGGAATGATTCAGGCCAGATGGTTCCGTACAGCTTTAGCCAGGGTTATGCTATTCGCTGCCCTAATTATTGGATTAGCTCTCTCCTCACAGGAAGAAATGAGGGCGGTTGGTCTGCTGTCCGGGGCCCGGAGCGGACCGCGGTGTGTCTGCTCGGCCTTGTCCTCCTCCCCTGGAAAGCTCGTCCCCGTAGGCACCTCGGGGCCCGAGCTTCCCGTTGGCACGTCCCACGCTGACCGAGCAGAGGCGTGTCGGTGGGGAGGAGAGGCAGTGAGTGTGGAGGGAGAGGTGCCCTCTCCCCGGGGCCCACAGTGCATCTCCCTGAGCAGCCTCTGAGGCCTGCTGCCCTCCGGACGGGCCCCGGGGCCCACCCTCCCTGTGTGCCTCTCCCCCTGCCCCACTCTCCTCCTGTGGGGCCCCGGCCGTCCTTCGGAGCTGGAACAACGAGGAGGCTCTGGGTGGCAAGTAACAGGAAACTCCGATGTGTTCGGCACTGCAGACTGCTGAGGGTGGTCGCACCAGATACCTGCTGAGGGTGGTCGCACCAGGCACCTGCTGAGGGTGGTGGCACCGGGCACCTGCTGAGGGTGGTCGCACTGGGCACCTGCTGAGGGTGGTGGCACCGGGCACCTGCTGAGGGTGGTCGCACCGGGCACCTGCTGAGGGTGGTGGCACCGGGCACCTGCTGAGGGTGGTCGCACCAGGCACCTGCTGAGGGTGGTGGCACCGGGCACCTGCTGAGGGTGGTCGCACCAGATACCTGCTGAGGGTGGTCGCACCAGATACCTGCTGAGGGTGGTCGCACCGGGCACCTGCTGAGGGTGGTCGCACCGGGCACCTGCTGAGGGTGGTGGCACCGGGCACCTGCTGAGGGTGGTGGCACCGGGCACCTGCTGAGGGTGGTGGCACCGGGCACCTGCTGAGGGTGGTCGCACCAGATACCTGCTGAGGGTGGCCGCACCGGGCACCTGCTGAGGGTGGTGGCACCGGGCACCTGCTGAGGGTGGTCGCACCGGGCACCTGCTGAGGGTGGTCGCACCGGGCACCTGCTGAGGGTAGTGGCACCGGGCACCTGCTGAGGGTGGCCGCACCGGGCACCTGCTGAGGGTGGTCGCACCGGGCACCTGCACACGGCAGCTCGTCAGCAACAGCAGGAGTGTGGTTCCATCTGTCTGTCCGCGAGGCCACGCTCATGTCCTCACAGGCCGACCTCCCTCATGGCCCATGGAGGCCACTGCAGATCCAGCCGTCACATGCAGTAATAGGACCCTCCCGCTTTAAAAATGGATGTGTTTTTATTGACTTCGGAGAGGAAGGGAGATGGGAGAGGGAGAGAGAAAGAGAAACATCAGTGATGAGAGAGCACGTGGACCGGCTGCCGCCTGCACTGCACACCCCACACTGGATTCAGCACGAGCTCTGATTAGGAATTAACCCCCAACCTCAGCCACTGAGCACGCCGGCCGGGCAGGATCCTAACTGGGATGAGGGTCCGTTTCCTCCCCCAGGGGCCGGTTGAAGAGTGAGAAATCTCTCCAGGGTCCTCGGAGACCTGTGTTTCTGCCTCCCTGGCCGGGATTGCGTCACGTGCCCGTGTTTTCGCCACGGCTGTGCGGGCCCGGCCGGGCGGGGGAGGACTGGTGCCGTGCAGGCCCGGAGCGAGGAACGGGCGGGGGATTGCTGTTAGGCTGCCCTGAAGGCCCTCCGCCGCCGGCCGCTTCCCAGGCCCCCAGCACTGATCCCTTCCTCCAGACCAGCCACGGTCTGCCCGGCCCCTGTGCTTATGCGCCCACCACCTCAAGGCCAGCTCCGTGCCAGGCACTGTGCTGGGCACGGAGGCTCCAGGATGACGGAGACACAGGCCCTGTCGTCAGGGAGTTGATGGAACTCAAACGGCACACACAGCTCCGCAGTGAGGGCAGGAAGGCAGGAGCCCAATGCCAAGCACAGGGAAGACTCCACTCAGAGGCCGGAGGGAAGGAGGGAGAAGGCAGACGGGTGAAGTGGAGGGAGGAAGGGCGGTGCTTCTGGGAGAGGAACTGCCCAGCGCGGGGGGGGGGGGGGGGGGGGGGGGGCAGAGGTGTAGGTGAAGGGGCTGGAGTCGGGGAAAGATGAACGAGGAGGCCAGAGCCGTCCATCTCAGAGGAGCCGAGGGCCTTGGATGCCACCTGAGGAGGGTGTGGTGAGTCCAGGAGCCGGCGGAGAGCAGGGGCGCGTAATGCAGGGGCACAGTGGATGGAAAGCAGCCCGCCCTCTGCCGCCGAGCGCCTGGAGGCGGGGCGTACAGCTCATTCTTCTTTGGCCCCTTGCAGTGCCCAGCTCGGCGCCTCAGTTTCCCCAGCTACAGAATGCTTCCGGTTCAGGCTCGATCGTGTGTGTGGCTCTTGCCATAGGTTTTTATTTTATTTTTTTTAGATATGAAAGTGAATATGTATTTAGTTAGATTGGAAATAGAAATCACAACAAATTACAAATTTTTTGGAAGGTGACAAATACCACACACATAACAAAACCATGAAAAGTTGCATTCTATACCTCTTGAATACTCTTTTTCCTATTTTTGGTTGCATACTCTCTGTATGATAACTTTTTTTTTAATATATTTTTTTTGCCCCCCCCCATACATGTCCTTCCTCCCCAGAGTTTTATGTCCATTGGTTGTACTTATATGCATGTATACAAATCCTTCGGTTGATCTATTATCTCCCCCAGATCTCCCTACCCTCCCTGCTGTAATTTGACAGTCTGCTTGTTGCTTTACTGTCTCTATTTGCCATAGGTTTTTAAAACTCTGAGAGGCTGATATTTTTCTTAAAAAAAAAAAAAAAAAAAAAAAGGCCTACTTCCTATGCCCAAGGGTGTCCTGGAGAGGAAAGCCCAAGTGCAAACCAAGGTCACGTTGCTGCGTTGTTCTCCACCGGCCGAGCAGAGGGACCTTCGGCCTCAGAGGAGCTGCCGGGCTCGGGCTTGCTGGTCTCCGAATTAGCCCCATTAGGCTCTGTCATCGCCGACAAGCGGTGACAGCTCTCCAGGCCCATTAGTGACCCGCCCTCGTTATCTGTCCCCCGATGTAAACTCCGCCACGACCTGCGATCTGAGTGGCTCACCCAGACCAGCACCTTCCCCCGCCCCGAGGCCCTCCGCACCCGCACCACCAGCCCAGGCGCATGTCTGACCCGAGGCCCCTGTGCAGGGCACGGCCACGCCCTTCCCGGCCCAGAGCGGCTCTGCGCTCCCCTGTTCTCCCCGGGGGGCCTCCCGGGCGGCCGCTCAGCTGAGCGGCAGGCAAACCTCCCGAGGCCGGGCTGTCGGGCAGGAGCCGTCAGGACGGCAGCGAAGGGGCTGGACTCTGTCCGGCTGTGCTGTGCCGCCCGGAGCGGGTCGCCTCCCTCTCTGAGCCTCACTTCTCCGAATGGGGATGGAGCCTTCGGGCCATACCCTCCCCGAGAGAGCTCCCGTCACCGCATGCCTCTCAGGGCGGTGGCTGAGCTTCTGTATACACCTCTGTGTCTTACAAAACTCACATCGGGGTTCAGAGGAGCTCGGCATGCCGAAACCGGTTTGGCTCAGAGGATAGAGCGTCGGTCTGCGGACTGAAAGGTCCCGGGTTCGATTCCGGTCAAGGGCATGTACGTTGGTTGCGGGCACATCCCCAGTGGGGGGTGCGCAGGAGGCAGCTGGTCGATGTTTCTCTCCCATCGATATTTCTAACCATCTCACTCTTCTTCTCTGTAAAAAATCAATAAAATATTTTTTTTTAATTAAAAAAAGAAGCAGCTCGCAGCCTCGCCCCAGGGCGATGCTAGCCGTGTCGTACCTCCTGGGAAAGCGGTAACAGGTGTCCGTCCATCCGTCCTCCTCCGCCGGGGGTGTCTGGGGACCCAGCGGAAGGGGCTCCTCCTCCTGGGGCTGGGCCTCTGGGCAGCCTCGGGGCCTGGGGGCGTGTTAATGTGCGGGCATCACACCGAGCGCGGCTGCGGAGGGCGCTGGTCTGAGCCGACCGGCCATGAGGACGGCACATCTGCTCTGTGCCGGTGCCCCAGGCTCGGTCCCTGCGCTCCGGAGGCTCATGTCTGGGGTTAGGAGACCACGGGGAGGCCCAGACGGAACAGCAGAGCGACCGAGTGTCCTGTGAAGTCCACAGCTTCAGAGACGATCGTCACAGAAGCCTGGGCTCACCGGGCCCGGCTGCTGGACGGTGGTCGCCGTCGGAGGCGCGGTGATGGGTCCCTCCCCCGCCCCCTCACCGGGAGCTGGGAATGCAGCAGCCAGAGGCCAGACACAGGCAGCCTTAGAGCAGCAGTCCACTCAGGAGAAAGCCCCTTCGTTTGGATGCGGTTCTACCAAGCATCCTCACCTGGTTTCCTAGGCCAAGCCAGTGGTCGGCAAACTCATTCATTCGTCCACAGAGCCAAACATCAACAGCACAACGAGTGAACTTTCTGTGGAGAGCCACATTCTTTCAACTTAAGCTTCTTCTAGCGCCACTTCTTCAACACAGACTCGCCCAGGCCTGGTGTTTTGTGGAAGAGCCACACTCAAGGGGCGTGGCTCTCGAGCCGCAGTTTGCCGACCCCAGGGCCAAGCCAGTAGCTATTGACTCGGAGGGAGCCGTGCTGGCAGGTGCGCGTCCTTGAACAGGAGTTTGAAGCCGGTGGCAATGCCGGGTGCAGAACAAGGAGGGAAACCTCGAAAGGAGTGGCCGCGGGGTCACGTGGTGGAGGGACCGGCTCACCCCTCCCGGGTCTGTGCTGGTGACGGAGCAGCCACCGTCGTCACAGCGGTGACTCAGGGCGTCGGGAACGTAAGAGTCGCTGGTTGCGTCTTCCTTGCTCCCAGCGCCGCCGGGGAAGGGAGGGGAGTGATCCAGTTTGGAACGAGTTCATCCCAGAAGGAGTCTCAGCGGGGCAAGTACAGTTTTCTAGAAAAGTCACCGAACGGCTCTGCTCGTCTATAATTATCTGCCGAGCGCGCTGTGTCCCCGGCGTGTTCTAAAGCACGGTGCCGGAGCTGGGTCTTACGGGGGAAACTGAGGCAGAGAGAGGCCTGATACGCTGCCAGAGGCCACACAGCAAGGAAGTGCAGAGGTGGGATTTGAACCCGGGGCCACGTGCCCTCCAAGCGGGAACGGAGATGCTGAGCGGGTGCCTTGTTCTGGGTTAGGAGCGACAGAGCAAGACACACCTGCCAGGGCCCAGTCAGCGTGGCACAGGAGGTCCCGGTTCGATGGTTCGATTCCCGGTCAGGGCACATGCCCAGGTTGTGTGCTCAATCCCCAGTAGGGGGTGTGCAGGAGGCAGCCGATCAATGGGTCCTCTCTCATCATTGATGTTTCTCTCTCTCTCTCTCTTCCTCTCTGAAATCAGCTCTGCCGGGCCTGGGCCCCTGTGTGAGCCCAGGGATCGGCGGGCAGTGTGGTCCCTGTGACACCCACTGCGCTCTGCTGTGTTCTAGCGAGCAGGTGCCGTGGCTCAGATTTCAGTGGCCGGGCGTGGCCAGCGGGCCATCTTTGGATCTAGCCCCATGTTGGGTGCCCTGACCTCCCCCAGCCCCGCTCCAGCCCCCCAGCCCCCAACACTCTGGCTGGCTTGTGGTTGGAATGCCCCTCTCCCAGCCCCAGGGAAGCGCCCCCTCCTCCAGGAAGCATTCCCTGATTGCCACAGTTCACATCAAGATCTGGCATCACCCCTCCCCCTGGGCCCCCCGACTCTGCTATGGCAAATCCTTTCCATCCGTTCCTCCCATCAGGCGTGCTTTCCTGGGGGAGGGAGCCATGCCTCAGTACCTCCATCCCGAGAGGGTGCGTGTTGTAGACACTCGGCAAGGAATGAGTGAATGAGTGAATGAATGAGAGAGATGCCAGTTGGCCAGCCCGCAGGCTTCCAGCAGGATCTGGGCTTCTGGGGGCTCCCAGGGAAGGTGCGCCCTGCGGTGCAGGGCTTGCCCCGAGGGCTGCCCCACCTCGGCTCTCCTCGTGCTGGGGGCGGCCGCCGCGATTGCCCGGAGCGGGGCAGCTGCGCCCAGTGAGGCCGAGCCTGCCCGCCCCTGGGCTCGGAGAACAGCGGGAGGACGCAGCTGGCGCCTCCGCGCCTGCCCTGCCCCCGGGGAGCTGCCCCGAGTGCTGGGAGGTGGTGAGGGGTCAGACGGCCAGCCTGCCCGGCCGGCAGCCGCACAGCCCGGTCTCCCGCCCGCTCACGTCCTCCCTCAGAGGGAAACCGGGGCCGGAGCCAGACGTCAGCTGCTCGAGGAGGGCAGGGGCCCCTCCCGCCGAGCGCCCAGGACGTGTGGGGGCCACGCTGGGCCGGCGGTGGGCTAGGCCTCGGGCGGAGGCTGGGGGCCTGGGCCTGGCTCCGGGGCCTCTGCTCACAGCGACGGGGTGGCTGGCCCCGCCTCTCGGAGCCGCGGCCCCGCCCCTAGAAGGTGGGGGCTGGCGGGGGGCGGCGTGCGGCCAGTGCCCGGTGTGCGGCGCCCTGGGGGCCTGGCCCCTCGTCCCCGGGCCCTCGTCCCCTCTCCCAGCGCGGCCGGTGCTGACCCGGCCCTCTGTCCGCAGCCGCCCTGGGCACGCTGGACTTCAGCCTCCTGTACGACCAGGAGAACAACGCGCTGCACTGCACCATCGGCAAGGCCAAGGTAGGCCCGGGCGTCCGCCGCCCCCTGTGGGGAGGGGTTTGCCTGCCGCCTCTCAGCTGCCCTCAGACCCTGCGGAGGGAGGGAGGCCACGGGGAAGGAGCAGGACCAGGAGGAGAGGAGGGTGCGAGGGGAGGCCTGGGCGGGCTTTCGGGAACAGAGGCCCCTCAGCTGGGCAGGGGCTGAGGGAGCGGGAAGGGGGCCACCCTGGGCGCTGAGGCCACGCCAGGCACCGGCCCCGTTCTCGGTTGGGCCGTGGGTGGGCCTGGCTCAGCTGTGTTCGCAGCCCCACACACGGCGCCCGCCCTCGGGGACGAAGGTGCCAGCGCCCATGCTCCCTCCCAAGGCAAGGCCGTGCGCAGCCTGCTGGGGCCTCCGCCAGAGCCTCCGCCAGAGCCTCCGGTGGAGGTAGAGCCTGGGAGGGCCTGGGCCGGCTCAGAGCCAGACGCTGCCTGGGCCCAGGCCGCACCCCCAACCCCCACCCTGCCGGCCTTTCTGCCCGCCTCCCACCCAGAGGGACAGGCTGCCCGCTCCTGCCCCCCCGCATGCCCCTCCACTCGGCCAGGCACTGGCCTGCCCTGGCAGCGGACAGTGCCGTCCGCTGTGGCCCGGGCCCTCGTTGGGCCTGCAGGCCTGCTCGCTCCATCCTGAGCCGTCCCCCGGGGCTGCGGGCAGGGGTGCGGGGCTGGCCCAGCGCCCGTGGCAGGGGCTCCGGACCCGCCCCTGGTACACAGTCTGGTGGCCCCAGCTGTGTGCAGACCGTGAAGTTCAAACAGATCCCTCCCTCCCCCTCCACCAGCTCTGTGCAGGTGCCCAGGCGAGAGGACAGACGTGTGTGCACGCACGTGTGTGTGCGCCTCTAGGAGTGTGTCATACAAGGCGTTTGAGGTGGGGGTGGGGGACCCTGAGCCGTGGCAGCTCCTCAGTTTCCAGGGCTGCCGGCAGGGGTGTTGCAGGGCTGGGCGGAGCTGTGGCTCTGGGTGGTGGTTGGGGAGGAGGCTGCGGCAGGGCTGACAGGCAGAGCCCTCCGGGGACTCTGGGAGGAAAACAGATGTCCTGGCCTGGACCCCATTTTGGCCGCCTCCCCCCTGAGTCAGCACGGCAGCCTCAGTTTGCTCATCTGTAAAACGGGCTAATCCTCCCCACCTGCGAGGTGGGCGAGCAGGACAGGATTAGGTCCTGAGGGCGGTGCCAGGGGGAGGCCCCACACACACACATGGACACGGCCTCGGACCCACAGAGGAGCTGGGAAGACTGACCTCCAGCCTGGCACTTCCGGGGGCAGGCCGGAGGCTGGGAGAGGCCTGTGTTTGAAGGGCTGCTGGTTGCCATGGTGCACCAGGGCCTCGGAGCCAGCCCTGCCCAGAGCCAGCCTGCGGGGCAGAGCGCAGCTACCCCAGGCCCTGCACCCTCCTCTGGCTTCTCCCGGGAGGTGCGGGGGGGGGGGGGGGGGGGAGCTAGCACAGAGGGAGAGGGGAGTGGCCCCCGCTGTCCAGGCCCTTGGTCAGCATTAACCTCCTCAGCTCTCACTCCCACCCTGGGCGGTGACTCACCCCTTTTACAGAAACCAAACTGAGGCCCAGGAGACCTCGGAACCCGGCCCCCTTACCCGGCCGGCTCTACAGCCCGTGCCCCTCCAAACGCAGGGCGGGCGGCGGGCGCCCCAGGGTGGGAGCCGGGCGGGGCGGAGAGCGCGGCCCCTGGGAGCGGCTGGGCATGAGCAGCCAGCCAGCGGCTCGGCCTGCACCCACCACGCCCGCTCCCTCCTTCCCTGCACCAGCCCAGGAGGAGAAAACGCAGTTTCAGACCCGGGAGCAGGCGTGAGGTGAGCTAAGCTCGTCCACTCAGGGCTCACGGCTCCCTGGGCACCGGCTGTCCAGCGTGGGTGAGCGCTGCCACCTGGTGGAGGGACCCTCCATGGGCAGCCGGCGAGCTGCGTGGCCTCCACAGCGTGCACACAGGGAGCTGTGGCAAATCGAGAGAGAGAGAGAGAGAGAGAGAGAGAGAGAGAGAGAGAGAGAGAGAGAGGGAGAGGGGGGGGGGGGAGAACGGACACAGAGAGAGAGGAGAGAGGGAGAGGGAGGGAGGGGGAGAGAGAGGGAGACAGCAGAGAGAGAGGGAGGAGGGAGGAGGGGAGAGAGAGGAGAGAGAGAGACGGGGGGGGGAGAGAATGGACACAGACAGAGAGAGATGAGACACGAGAGAGAGAGAGAGAGAGAGACAGACAGACAGACAGACAGACAGACGGGGGGGAACGGACACAGACAGAGAGAGCTTGTCCCCAGGAGCCCCGAGGGAAGCGTGTGGCTGAGGGGACAGGCAGTGAGGATGCAGGGTCAGCGAGGGGAGTTTTGTTGGGGAGCGGAGGTGGGCAGGGTGCTGGGGGAGGGAGGTGGCACCAGCTTCCTCCCGCCCCCGTGAGGAGGGGCAGGGGCAGGCTCAGCCGGTGCCTCGGGAGCAAGGGGGCTGCTGACCAGGGCCCGAGGCCGGCTGCTTGTGGCCCCCGCCCGTCACACCGCCGCTGTCTCCGCTCAGGGCCTGAAGCCGATGGACCACAACGGGCTGGCCGACCCCTACGTCAAGCTGCACCTGCTGCCGGGGGCCAGTAAGGTAAGGGGGTCCTGCCACCGCGGCCTCGGGCACCAGGGCGGCGCCCGGCTCCCACTCCGAGCCCCGCGGCCGATGGGCTCGGCCCTCACCTCCCAGGGGACTCGGCTGGAGGCCGCGGCTCTGCTCCCGGGGGGACCGGGGCCGCACAGCCGGGACAGCGTCCGTCCGGCCTCGGGAGCCCTCGGCCTGAGGGGAGGAGGCGGCCTCGGGGAGCTGGCCCGCTGAGCTGCACGGGCTGGGCCCCCCTGGAAGGAGGCTGCAGGGGAGAGGGCGGCTCCCACGCGGCCTGCGGACGGACGGCCTGGCCGAGGCGTGTGACCGGGAGTGTGCCCGAGGCGAGCTCCGTGGCCGGAGCCCCCGGCTCCCGGGGCCCAGCGTGGCCGAGCCCGGGGAGCTGTGGGGCTTTCCGGGCGGGCGGTGTTTACAAAGAGAAGTCTCCTGGTGAAGAAGTTTCCGGAAAGCCAGCGGTCCCCGTGCGGCCCTTACAGCGGGAGCCTCACTCGGGGACAAGGCCGAGCCCGAGCGTTCACGTGTGGAGCTGGGATGTGCACCCGGCCTGCCTGCCTGCCTCAGCCCGGCCTGGCGTGGAGAGGCCAGGGGCGCAGGGCCTGAAGGCCCGAGGTACGGAGTGTGAGAACCAGGAGCAGGAGGACGACGTGCGACATGGCAGCTGGACAGGCGCCCAAGGCGTTCTCCGGGGAAGGGGGCGCCCAGGCAGAGGGGCAGCCTGGGCAGAGGCCGGGGTGTGAGGGAGCCCCATCAGCCCCACCACACACACACGCACACACACACACATACATACACGCGCATACACGCATGCACATACACGTATACATGCATGTGCGCGCACACACCGGGCGCAGGGCCGCCGGGGCAGTGCCCAGGATGCCGGGACGCGTTTGCCACCAGGGCAGCTTCTCACCGTCGCTCTGTGGCTCAGTCCCTCTGGGCTAACCCAGGTGCTACAGGGCTGTGGGGCCTCCGAAGGAGAAGCCACGTCCCAGTCCTTCCCAGTTTAAGAGGCCGCGCCACCATCTTCTCCCTCTGCCCTCTGACCTCTGCCGTTCTAAGGACCCTGTGATTTCATTGGACCCGCCCACGTCACCTAGACAACCTCCCCTTTTTTTTTTTTTTTGGTTTTTTTTTTTTAAGGCAATTTTATTTAAGATATTTTTATTGATTTCAGAGAGGGAGAGGGAGATAGAAACATCGATGATGGGAATCATTGATCAGCGGCCACCTGCACACCCTGACTGGGAAACGAACCGTGACCCCCAGCTCATAGGGTGATGCTCAACCACTGAGCCACACCAGCCGGGCTTCAGTGTCAGCTAAGACCTTTAATTCCCGCCGCCGTGTAAGAGCAGACCCAGGCTCAGGGCCGCCATCCTGCCCACCGCACCCCGTCCTGCTCACAGGATTTCTCTCTCCTTCCCTCCCTCCCTTTCTCTCTTTCCCTCTCCCCCTCTCCCTCTCCCTCCCCCCCCCCTCTCCCTCTCCAGGCAAATAAGCTCAGAACAAAAACTCTCCGAAACACGCTGAACCCCACGTGGAACGAGACCCTCACTTACTACGGGATCACGGACGAAGACATGATCCGAAAGACCCTGCGGTGGGTGAGGCCCCGCCCCCCGCCCCGCCCCGCCCCGCCCGCCCCCCCCCTCAGCGGAGTGTCTGAGCCGCCGCGCCTCGCCCCCAGGATCTCCGTGTGCGACGAGGACAAGTTCCGCCACAACGAGTTCATCGGGGAGACGCGCGTGCCCCTCAAGAAGCTCAAGCCCAACCACACCAAGGCCTTCAGCATCTGCCTGGAGAAGCAGCTGCCGGTGAGTGCAGCCCGCTCTCCGCGGCGCTCGGGGCCTGCCGCACGCGCTGGGGGCAGACGGGCATCCTGGCCTCGCCGCACGCGCTGGGGGCAGACGGACATCCTGGCCTCGCCGCACGCGCTGGGGGCAGGCGGACATCCTGGCCTCGCCGCACGCGCTGGGGGCAGACGGGCATCCTGGCCTCGCCGCACGCGCTGGGGGCAGACGGGCATCCTGGCCTCGCCGCACGCGCTGGGGGCAGACGGGCATCCTGGCCTCGCCGCACGCGCTGGGGGCAGACGGACATCCTGGCCAGCATAAAATGCCCCGTCGCCCATTGGGCTCATCTGTCCGACGGGTCCAGGGGAAAGCATGCGAGGGGCCGGCGGTCGGGATGTGGGCCTGGGAGGGCCGGCCAGGCATGCGGAGGTGTTCCAGGCGGAGGGAACAGCAGGTGCGAAGGCTGAAGGAAAGTGCCAGCCGCCCACTGAGGGGGCGAGAACCAGGGGGTGTCCTGGGCGGTGAGAGCCGAGGCTGGGGGTAGGCAGGGGCTCGGGCCCTCGCCGTGAGTGGGTGGGCCACGGGAGGGCGCTCCGCAGGGGCTGAGAGATCTGGCGGAGCTCTGGGCTCAGAGCGGGGGAGAGAGGAGGTGAGAGAGGGCCAGCGGGGAGCAGGAGATGAGCGTGCCCCAGGCCCGGCCGGCGGCAGCGGGGAGGGGTGCGGGGGCAGGGACAGAGTGCGGGCAGCTCTGTGTTCTGGACGCCGGGCCTGAGCACCTGGCAGGATCAGGGGCCGTTAACTGGGATGCAGAGGACCTGGGGGTTGGGAGGAGCAGCTGGGACACGGGAACTCAGCTGGAACGTATCAGGCGTGAGAGTCCCAGGGGAGACGGAAAGTAATTCTTTCCTAGAAATGGTGGTTGTTTTGAAGATGATGACAAACCCATTTTGCCCCCGGCCGCCTGCAGCAGCTGAGCCCTCCAGAGCCGCCCCCGTTTGTCCCTCGGCTCTCCCTCCCTCTGTGGGGGCGGGAGCGCTGGGCCAGGAGGCCCCAGGGCCCTGAGGAACCTGACCCTCCTCCAGCCCCGTGTTCAGGGCCTGGTCCCCCCGGAGTCCCCCCGGGGCCTGGGCAGGGTCCAGGCGTAGAGGACACAGCCCAGTGGTGCCCCCCATGTGGGGCTGGGCCTGGGGCGCAGGCTCCTCAGAGCATTGCAGCTCCTCCTCCTTGCATAACTCGATCAGGTGTGCTCCCCTGTGAGTCCTCCCACTCACAGGCATCTGTGTGATGGGTGACCTTTTTGTCTTATTATTAGTCACTAACCACAGGTAACCCAGTTTCCCAAACGGGCTCTGTCACTTCGGAAAGGCACGTCAGACGCCCACGATGGCTGTGTCCCGGCGTGAACAGCGGCCGTGGGGACGTGAGCCTGTGGCTGCACGTGGGCGGGGCCGGCGGGGCGCTGTGCGTGGAGGGCGGGGGGCGGCGCACGGGGTGGGGAGCGGGCGCGCCTGTGTTTCCTGGGTCCACCGACAGCTGGTGGATCTGGTTCGGGGACGGAGGGCCCCACAGGAGCGCAGTTTAGGATTGCCCGCTCCGGCCACACAGACACACGTGGATGCTGCCCTCTGGGTTTCCCATTGTCCGGGAGCCTCTTTGTTCTTAGTAAACACTGAGTGGTACCCAGGTTAATGGCTTTCCTGTGAAAGGACCCAAAGTACTTCTACCTGCTCCCCCCAAAATAAGACAACAGCTGGAAACGTCGACGCTCACGTGTAGCGTTTAATTTCCACGAGTCACACAAACCAGCTCGGAGCCCGTGGAGCCAGGCCTTGGCCGGAGGCAGATGCTGCCGGGCACCCGTCTGGGCCACACCCGGCCGCTGTCCCGCTGCATCGGGCCTGGGCGCTGGGGATGCTGTGATGGGAGCCGCGTCTGCTCTGGGCGTGGGTGTGGGTGTGGGCTGGGGGAGGTGGATCTCCCTCCACTTCACAGGCGCCTGGGAAGTGCCGGGTGACAGGGAGCAAAGGAGAGGGCCCACGTGAGCAGCAGTGGAAACGGGCGAGCTCGGGGGCTGCAGAGCGGAGGTCAGGCTGACTGGGGCGGGGAAGCCCGGCAGCGAGGCCGAGAGCCGAGTGTGATCGCAGAGGGGGCACAGGCCTGGCAGCCCCACCTGCCTCCCGGCTCCCTGAACCTCTCCCCCACCCGGGCTAGGAATGTGTCAGAGCTCCGTCCTCGTGTTCTCCCCAGGGGGCCCCCTGCCCCCCCGAGAGGCTCCAGGAAGCGCCTTCCAGGGGCTGGGGCCGGGGTGACCCCTCACCACTCACGGCTCCGTGTGCCCCGGGCGCGGTTCTGGCCGGGGCTGGGGCCGAGGGGGCGGGGCGGTGAGGACGGCTCGGTGACCGCCCCCCCCACCCCCAGGTGGACAAGACGGAGGACAAGTCCCTGGAGGAGCGCGGTCGCATCCTCATCTCCCTCAAGTACAGCTCGCAGAAGCAGGGCCTGCTGGTGGGCATCGTGCGCTGTGCTCACCTGGCCGCCATGGACGCCAACGGCTACTCGGACCCCTACGTGAAGACGTGAGTGCGGCCCGGCCCCCGCATCTCAGGAGGGAGGGCGGTCAGTGTCAGGACCAGGGGGCCGTGTGGCCAGGCAGCCTGGCCATCAGTCATTACGCATTACGGCGTCCCAACCATTAGCATATTAGCTCTTTATTATTATGACTAAAGTTCACGTGCTGGAGGGGGGTCCCTCAGCCCGGCCTGGCTCCTCTCACAGTCCGGGAGCCCTCAGGAGCGGGAGGTGACGCCCCATCACACCTCTGCTGCTGCCACTGCCGGCAGCGCAAGCCTCGGCCGGCCCTGGTTACCTGAGCCTCGGGCGGCCCTGGTACCTGAGCCTCGGCCGGCCCTGGTACCTGAGCCTCGGGCGGCCCTGGGTGCCTGGGCAGCCGCCATCCGAGGCTTGCTTGCACCACAGGCCAGCCCTGGGTGGCAGGGGTGCTGAAAGGACTGGGGGACTCCGGAGGCAGGCATACTGCGCGCCTGCTGCCCTGGCAGGGATGAGGGTACTGGGCGCCACTATCTTGTGCCTGTGGGTGCCACCATCTTTGAGGGCATGGCAGCAGTTACATATTTCCTCCTTACTGGCTGTGGTCATTGCCATTTTTGTGAGGGTGTGATGGTCCATTAGCATATTCCCTCTTTCTTAGATAGGATCACATTCCATTGTGTGGATAGACCACATTTTGTTTATTCATCGGTTGATGGACACTTAGGTTGTTTCTGCCTTGTGTCTGTGGTGACTGATGTTCCTGTGGACATTCATGTATCTGAATTTGTGGGGATGTGCTCTCCTGGGTATACACCTAGGAGCGGGATTGCTGGGCCTTATGCTAACTCCATGCTCCACCTTTTGAGTAACTGCCAGATGGTTTTTCAGAGCGTCTGCACCAAGGTTGTGGTTTGATGTAAAAAGCGACAGGGAAGCGTGGCCCGGGCTGTGCTGGTGGCAGGACCGGCCCCGGGTGAGTGGTGCATTGCACAGCATCGGCCGCAGCTCGGTGAGCGCTGGTTTTAGCCCGGTGCGGCCGGCTCCGGGGCAGCGCCGGGTCTGACATCCGTCACAGCTCGGTGAAGCGCTGGTTTTAGCCCGGTGCGGCCGGCTCCGGGGCAGCGCCGGGTCTGACATCGGCCACAGCCTGGTGAAGCGCTGGTTTTAGCCCGGTGCGGCCGGCTCCGGGGCAGCGCCGGGTCTGACATCCGTCACAGCTCGGTGAAGCGCTGGTTTTAGCCCGGTGCGGCCGGCTCCGGGGCAGCACCGGGTCTGAGGGGAGGCTGTGGGGTCGCCGGGGGAGTCAGGTCCCTGCATGTGGGGCTGGGGCGACTCATTTTCCACATAAAACGACGGCGAATTGGCCCCCGTGCCTGCCGCCAGCAAAACAGTGATTTGCTGCAGATTCCAGGCCCCTGTGAGGGACGCGCGGCTCCCGCTCCACAGACAGACAGCGGCTCCTTCTGACCACTGGGGGGGGGGGGGGGGGGTGTGTGCAACTGGCAGTTCCAGTCAAGTAGCAAATTGTGCGCCTGGGGCTGCATGATTTCCCGTCTTTGTGTCCTAGAAACCCCACCTGGGAGGAAAGCTGTGTGTTGCAGTTCCCTTGTCAGAGATAACCTGGAGATAGCCAAGCATTCGTCAGCAGAGGAATAGCTGCACAGAAGGCGGCACAGGCAGAGCATGGAGTTCTGTGCGCTCAGTGAGGGAGGGAGGACCGGATGAGTGAGCATGGGCAGCTGCCCTGACACGCTAAGCCCCAGCAGACCGCGGGACGGTGCACACAGGTGCTGCTTCTGGCCGATCCCGAACCCTGCAGAGCGCCTCACAGGAGGGGGCGGAGGGGACGGGGCTGGGAAGGGGAGCAGAGTGCCACCACCTGCCGCTGGGACGCCAGGTCTCCTATGGCAGGAAATAGTCTGAAGCCACATTTTAAAATCGGGCTCCGTGCCGAAACCGGTTTGGCTCAGTGGTAGAGCATCGGTCTGCGGACTGAAAGGTCCCGGGTTCGATTCCGGTCAGGGGCATGTACGTTGGCTGCGGGTACATCCCCGGTGAGGGATGTGCAGGAGGCTGCTGGTCGATGTTGGTCTCTCATCGACATATCTGGCTCTCTGTCTCTCTCCCTTCCTCTCTGTAAAAATCAATAAAATATATTTTAAAAAAAAAAGTTTATAAAATCGGGCTCCGTGGCCACCTGCCAGGTTGGCGGGAATGCCAGGGCTGTGTGCCGGGTTGTTCAGAAAGCAGGGTCTTTCCTGGTGCCCCAGGCAGTCCAGCCGACATGGCCAGGCAGAGGTGTCCGGGCACGGCCTGCCCGCTGCGCCTGGGACCCCTCCTGGCCACGGCGTGGGGGCTGCCGGGCCACGGCGGCCGGGCCACCTCCCAGCCACAGGCGGGGTCAGCGAGGCCCCTCGAAGACCACCAGGAGGTCCCCGGTTCGACCCCCGGGCGGGACACATGCCCGTGGTGCAGGCTCCATCCCTGGTGGGAGGCGTGCAGGAGGCGGAGGATGGATGTCTCTCTCTCTCATCCAGGATTCTATCTCCCTAATCTTCCCCCTTCCTCTCTCTCTAAAAAAAATCAGACTTTTTAAAAAAGACAGGCAGGTGTGTGGGTGGCTCCTGTGTCAGAGCCACATGGCACTTCCCCGGGGGTCCCACCGCAGCCTAGCAACCCCCGCGTGACTGACACTCCCCGAGCCACGGCTGCTGCTGCAGGCCGCCTCCAGGCCCCTGCCTCCAGAAGGCCCTCCTGGACCGTGGGCCTGTTCTTGCTAAACGCAGGAGAGAGAAAGGCAGAGGTGGATTCGGAGCAAGGGCCCCCGAGGCTGTCCTGGGTCCCAAGGGGGGCACCTGTGAACTGAGGGGCCAACATGGATGGGCCAAGGCCTTTGGTCAGCACCCTTGTTTGGGTAAACCTCACCCCGATGACGTGTGCCTCAGTTTCCCCATGCTGAAAATGGACTCTCTGGGGTATCATGGGAAGCCAGGGGGAACCATGATGGTGACTGTCACCATGGACGTGTTCTTTTTCAAAATACATATTTTATTGATTTTTTACAGAGAGGAGGGAAGAGGGATAGAGAGCTAGAAACATCAGTGAGAGAGAGAAACATCATCCAGCTGCCTCCTGCACACCCCCTACCGGGGACGTGCCCACAACCAAGGTACGTGCCCTTGGCTGGAATCGAACCCGGGACCTTTCAGTCCGCAGGCTGACGCTCTATCCACTGAGCCGGACCGGTTTTGGCTCTTTAGGGTTTTCTATAAATAGAATCATGTTGTCTGCAAATAGTGACAGTTCTTCTTCATTCCTAATTTAGGGGCCTTTTATCTATCTCTCTCGTTTCATTGCTCTAGGATAGGGGTGTCGAACTCAATCAGAGAAGGGGCCAAAATCTAAAATCCAGCCTAAATCGCGGGCCGAATGGTTTACTGAACAGTCATAAACTGTCATTGTGATGGAAACGCAGCGGAGTGCAGTGATGACAGCGCGGTGCGGGCCACAATGCAAGGCCTGGCGGGACGGATTTAGCCCGCGGGCCTTGTGTTTGACACATGTGCTCTAGGACTTCCAGTAACACCGTGAATAACAGAATGAGGGTGGGCATCTTGTCTCATCCCTAGTATCAGTGGAAAGGTTTTCAGTATGGCGTCACCTGAGAGCTTGTCATATATGGCCTATATCATGATGAGGTATTTTTCTTCTCTATCCATTTTGTGAGTATTTTCATCACAAATGGATGTTGTATCTTGTTAAATGCCTTTTCTGCATCGATTATAAGCACATGATTTTTTTTTAAATTATTGACACTTGATTCAACGGTTTTCATCTTTTGTTAATGTAGTTGACAAACTGGTAGATTTGTGGACGTTAGACCACCTTTGCATCCCGAGAATAAACTCCACTTGATCATGATGTATGTGACCTTTTTAATGTATTGCATTTGACTTGCTAGATTTTGTTTAGAATTTTGCATCTATGTCCATCGGTGATATTGCCTGTAATTTTCTGTGTGTGGGGGGGGGGTGGGGCCTGGTTTGGGTATTACGGTAAAGATTGGCCTTATAAAATGCATTGGGAAATATTCCCTCTCTGTGTTTTGGGAGAGGTTGGGAAGGCCTGGATGTGAATCTGGAGCGTTGGGTAGAGTTCATCAGTGAGGCGATCTGGTTCAGGACTTCTGGTCGGGAGGCTTTTATTAGTTCCAGCATTCTTACTCGTGTCGTCTACTTAGGTTTCCCATTTTTTCATGACCAAGTCTAGGAAGTTTGCATACGTCTAAGAATTTGTCCATTTCTTCCAGGTAATCAGATTTGGAGGCATGTAGCCTTTCAGACTATTCTTGTAATATCCTTTGTATTTCTGTGGTGTCCATTGTAACTTCTCTTTCATTTCTGATTTTACTTTTTTTTCCTTAGCAATATTTCTTTTCTCTACTTCATTTACTTCTGCTGTTTTTATTATTTCCTTCCTTCTACTGAACAAATGGGCTTTGTTCGTTCTTCTTGGTCTTTATGGTGTGATATTATATTGTCAGTTGGGATTTTTCATTTCTTGAGCTAGGCCTGCAGAGTTATAAACTTCCCTCTCAGCTTCACTTTTGCTGCATCCCAAAAAACGTTATTTTCGTTTTCATTTGTCCCTGTGTATCTTTTGGCCTCTCATTTCCTCTTTGACCCAATAGTTGTTCAATAGCACATTGTTTAATCTCTACCTTACCTGTGGCTTTTCCAGCTTTCTTCTTGTAGTTTTCAATTTCACAGAATTGTGGTTGGAAAATATGGTTATGATTTCATTTTTAAATTTATTGAGACTAGTATTGTGCCCTCAACGTGTGACCTGTCCTTGAGAATGTTCTGTCTGCATTTAAGAAGAATGTGTATTCTGTTGTTTGGGATGGAACATTGTATAAATATCAATTAAGGCATTTGTTCTAATGTGTCATTTAATGCTATTTCCATATTGACTTTTTGTCTGGATTATTTATTGCCGTCAGGGGGTACTCGTGTGCCCTGTCTCAATTGTCTGTCAGTTTCTCCCTCTAGGTGTGTTAGTAATTGCTTTATATAAGTTGGTGCTCCCAGGTTGGGTGCATATATAGTAATGTGTTGTGTCTTCTTGATGGATTGTCTCCTTTAGCATTATAAAATGTTCATCTGTCTCATTGCCTTTTTTATCTCGGAGCCTGTTGTCTGATAGAAGGACTGCCATGCCCTTTTCTCTGGATGCTATGTACTTGGAGCTCATCTTCCACCCCTTCCTTGTCAGCCTGTTTGTCTCTGGAGCAGAGTCTCCTGGAGGCACCATGTAGCCCAGTCTTGTTTTTAAACCCATCTCTCTACTCTGTGTCTTTTGATTGGTAAGGTCAGTCCATTTACATTTAGGGTGATACTGATGTATGAGGACTTGCTTTAGCCATTTAACTTTTATTTTCTTTTTTTAAATATATTTTTATTGATTTCAGAGACAAAGGGAGAGGAAGAGAGAGATAGAAACATCAGTGATGAGAGAATCATTGATTGCCTCCTGCATGCCCCCTTTTGGGGATCGAACTCACAACCCAAGCAGGTGCCCTTGACTGGAATTGAACCTGGAACCCTTCAGGCTGCAGGTCAACACTCTACCCACTGAGCCAAACCATCCAGGGCTATCTTTTATTTTTTGGTCGCTTGTGATTCCATCTGCTATTTTATTTTTTTTTATTTTTTTATTTTTTTAAAATATATTTTATTGATTTTTTACAGAGAAGAAGAGAGAGGGATAGAGAGCTAGAAACATCGATGAGAGAGAGAAACATCGACCAGCTGCCTCCTGCACACCCCCTCCTGGGGATGTGCCCACAACCAAGGTACATGCCCTTGACCAGAATCGAACCTGGGACCTTTCAGTCCACAGACCGACGCTCTATCCACTGAGTCAAACCGGTTTCGGCTCATTCAATTTTTAAACTTAGTTTTGTCTCTTCACCCTTTTGATGAATTTCTGGGTTTCTGTCTTCGGGCTCTCTCCCAAGTGATCCACTCTATTTCCGGTGCTCCCTAATGCATTCCTCGTTTCATTCACTGAGGTTTGTGGTTCCAAAAATTCAGCGTGGTTCTTTTTGTAATTCCAATCTCTTTAGTCAAGTACTCCTTCTGTTCGCAGATTTTATACCTGAGCCCACTGGGCTGGCTTTCTGAGCTCTCCTGTCTCTCATTGAGGTTCTTTACAACCACAGCCTAAAATTCTCCGCCATTTCAGTCTTCCAGACTTTGAGGGGTTTTTGGGGACTTGATTGTCTTTCTATGTTCCCACGGTACCTTGGCTGATCATGGTATCTGATGGATTGTCTGTCTGCCCACCATTTGGGGACGTGAACTCCTTATCTACTGTTTTGTTCTCAACAATTCAGCAGGTAGGGCACTTTCTTTTGGTCCCAGCGGATGCTGTTACAAGCTTTGTTTTTTGTTACTGCGCTGTTTGGGCCTCTGGGATCACTGGAGCAGCATCGTCTGGTTAAGGACAATACTGCACCCACTGGGATGGTGGGGGAGCGTGGTGGGCAGTGGACTGGTTGTGTGAGCTCCCAGCACCACCTCCCTTCACTCATGTTCACTGGCCCCCTGTGTTTTAGAAGCATCTCCCCTGCCTCAACCAGCCTCTGCCAGGACAGGCAGAGCGAGTGAGTGAGTGAGAGTGTGTGTGTGTGTGTGTGTGAGAGTGTGGTGTGTGTGTGTGAGTGTGTGTGTGTGTGTGTGTGAGAGTGTGTGTGTGTGTGTGTGTGTGAGTGTGTGTGTGTGTGTGTGTGTGAGTGTGTGTGTGAGTGTGTGTGTGTGAGTGTGTGTGTGTGTGTGTGTGAGTGTGTGTGTGAGTGTGTGTGTGTGTGTGTGTGTGTGAGTGTGTGTGTGTGAGAGTGTGTGTGTGTGAGTGTGTGTGTGTGTGAGAGTGTGTGTGTGTGTGAGTGTGTGTGTGTGTGAGTGTGTGTGTGTGTGTGTGAGTGTGTGTGTGTGTGTGTGTGTGTGTGTGTGAGAGTGTGTGTGTGTGAGTGTGTGTGTGAGTGTGTGTGTGTGTGAGTGTGTGTGTGTGTGTGTGAGTGTGAGTGTGTGTGAGTGTGTGTGTGAGTGTGTGAGTGTGTGTGTGTGAGAGTGTGTGTGTGTGTGTGTGTGTGAGAGTGTGTGTGTGTGTGTGTGGAGGGTGGGGTGGGGGGAGAGACACGAGGGGAAGTCTGGGGAAACAAGTTCACGTTTCACAGCCCCTGCAGCAATAGCTGCTGGCCCTGCTGTGGTGGTAAGCCTTCCAGCACCTCCCCAGGGTCTGCTCTGCTGGGAAGGAGCAGGAGAGGGGGCCTCTTCCTGGGAGAACACTGATCTGCCCCACTCTGGAGCTGCGGTAGGCGGCCACCATCCCTGTCCTTCCCCTGCCCACTCCAGTAAGCCCACCTTCAGATGCACCAATCTCCCAAGCATGTTTGTGTTGAGCAGGGGATCCTTTATTGAGTTACAGTTGTCCAACTTGTTACAAATTTAAGGGAAGAAACAAAGCGTTCTCACTCTGCCATGCTGCTGACTTTAAGGTGATGGAACTCCACTTTGTTTGGGCGTGTCAACAGTATGGCCTTCTGAGGTCAGTTTGGCAGAATGACGGAAGAAGGTTGACACTTGTGGGTGACTTCACTTCTAGGAATTCAGTAATTCAACAGACGTTCGTGGGCCTTCCCAGTGCCGGCCCTGAGGTGGGTGCCCAGAAGCTGGTGGGGGAGGTAGATGTGGTCCTCGCCCCGGAGAACCTGCAGAAGCACAGAGCAGTGGCCCCTCAGCTATCTGCAGCCACAGGGCGAGGCTCTGAGGGGAGGCCTGCCCGTGCGGCTCCGACGGAGGCATCGGAGGCCAGGGAGCTAATGCCCAAGGAGAAGCTGGTTCACAATCCGCTGCCCCTCCCTTGGGAGGCATTGTTGCTGCCCAGAAGGCCTCCTGTCTCAGAGCTCCAGGGAGGTGGCACAATGGCTGCACAGCTCTGGGAATATGCCAGAGACTGCCATTTTGCACTTTAGAATGAAGTTTATAGTATGTGTATTATAACTCAGCAAATCTGCTAGTTAAAAAAAAGGAAAGAAAAAAGCTCTAACAAAGGGGTTGACGCTGCTAAAAATGTTCTCCTGCTGAGGAAAGCGAGCTTTGTGAACATTAGACTTGCAGACACAAGGAACATCGCTCTCCTAGAGGGAGAGAGACTCAGGAAAGGGCCTGTGAGAGTGTCCAGGTGCGGAGGGAGCAGTGCTGCTGCTGCTGGGCTGACCGCCCACCTCGGCCACAGCATGCCGGGGACTCTGAGGACTGAGTGAACAGAGAGGCCCTGGAGTCTCTCTCCACGCCCTGCTGGCTCCATCTGTGCCCACAGCTTCTCCCCACCCCCTCCTGCCTCTCCACCGGTTATAATTCCAGATACCTGAAGCCAGATGTGGACAAGAAATCCAAACATAAGACAGCCGTCAAGAAGAAGACCCTGAACCCAGAGTTCAACGAGGTACCAGGGCGGGTGAAGGCGCGGGAGGGACTGGGCTCTCAGAGGTCACAGCAGGGGGAGGGGAGAGGCTCCAGCCAGGCTGAACCAGGCCCGGCTGATGGCGCACGGAGGGGGGGCAGCCTAGGAAGTTTCAGAGGGTGGCATGACGGGATCGCTGCTCACTGGATGTGAGGTTGGAAGTGGAGTGGGAGGTGAGGGAGGTGGAGAAGCTCTGGGCGGGACATGACCATGGTGAGGAGTGAGAGAAGGGCGTGGGGCACAGGGGCCTCGGGGAGAGCCTGAGCAAGGCAGGGGCAGGCAGAGGTGGCGCTTCGAGAGCGAGGGGGGCACCAGAGGGCAGAGCTCCGTGGAAGCCAGTGGTCAGCAGAGCCAGACCCAAGAGAAGGCAGAGGACACCAAGGCTGCCAAACATGAGTTGCTGACAACAGGAGGCTCTGGGAATCTTGAGAGAGTCTCAGGCGTACGTGGATGAGATGGATGAGGATCTACCATTGTCCACCACCAGGCACTGACCTCCCACCTCCTCCCTCGGGGCACACCCTCCCCGTGCCTGAGCTCTCATGGCTTGTGGCAGTGGCCCTGACTCTCCCCTTCTGGCCACCAGGAGTTCTGTTACGAGATTAAGCACGGGGACCTGGCCAAGAAGACCCTGGAGGTCACCGTCTGGGATTACGACATTGGGAAATCCAACGATTTCATTGGTAAGAGGAAATGGCCTCAGCCCAGGGCAGCCCTGAATCAGACCACAGCCCTTCCTTCCCGGCCTCTGGAGCAGTTTGGGTTCCCAGACCACCCGCCCCACACGAGGGCTTGACCTTGGCCAGCCCGGCTCCATGTGACAGGGGAAGGCAGGCCGGAGGGTCACACAGGAGAGTGTGGAGCAGGTGTGGGAGGTGGTGATGGTCCACACCTCGAGCTGGACTCAGCCCTGTGGCCCGGATCCCTGTGGGCTTGGAGGCTGCACACAGCAGAGCTGCCCGCCCCTTCCGCCTCCCTCCGGGGCCCGGGTAGAGGAAGGGCAGGGTCCTGGGCCCTGATCTTTAGGGCCAAGAGTGTGGCATGGCGGTAAGACCGATGTCCACCCTTAAGAGCCTCCTGGGCCACGTGGAGAGTCCAGCCTTGGGGCATGGAACCTGGGAGGGGCGGGGTTACACTGGTTCCAGAGAGAGGAGCTTGTGGGAGCACCTGCCCCAGGCCCCTGGCTGCCCCTGAACTTCCCTCCTGCAGGCGGTGTGGTTCTGGGCATCAATGCCAAGGGCGAGCGCCTGAAGCACTGGTTCGACTGCCTGAAGAATAAGGACAAGCGGATCGAACGCTGGCACACGCTCACCAACGAACTCCCTGGGGCCGTGCTCAGCGACTAACCGGCCCCGCCTGCCACCGCACCCAACCTTGCCTGTCACTTGGCCCAACACAGGCCTGGCCCTTCTCAGCTGCCACCGAGGGCCTTGGCCCCACGATGGGGGAGACAGGACACCTGCTCGGACACAGGACCACTGCAGCCCCTTTTGGAGGCCATGGAGGTCCCAGCCACCCTGAGGAACAAGGGCAGAGGGCCCGGCAGGGCCAGAGGGAGGCGGAGAGGAGCTTGGCCTCAGCACCTGCCCCAGGGACGGGGCGCCCGGGAGGGAGCACCCTCCTCGAGCTCAGCAGTAAGTCACAGGACCGGGCTAAGAGAACAGAATGCAGGGGCACCTTGGTGGGTCCAATGAGAACTCCTGAGACGAACACTAGGAAGAGGATGTTGGGGAGGAGATTGGGGACAGGACTCTGACTAGATCCGTTCATCTCTGGCATTCCTGGGCAGGTGGGAAAAGGTTAACCTGAGAGCCAGGAGTCTAGTGAATTTCCCAGAAGCTCCTAGTGAATGTGGGCACTTGGCAGCTACGTCCCTCGGTTATTTCACAAGCCTCTGGGGATGGCTGAAACCCAGGGCCTGCCCTCAGGGAGCTCCCCATCTAGTCAGGGGCTGGAAACGAACCGTTACAGTGGGGAGTGAGGAATGCATGGCCAGCATGGCCCGCCTGTGGGTGCTGTGGACTCCGCTGGGAGGGCTCCCTAGAGGGGTCATGCTGCAGCAAGGCCGGGGAGGGGAGGGGAGTGTCAGGCAGCCAAAAGGGAGGCGGCGGGCATGGTCTGCAAAGGCCGGGAGGGGGGAGAACGGTGGCTGGGCCAAGGGCATATGAGGGACGCAGCTGTTTCCCGGGGGGAAGGTGTGTGAGGACAGGAGTGCGGCCCAGCACGATGGTGCCCAGCCCTGCTCCCGCTCCATCCCTGGCGGCCGGGCCAGCCTGGGCTCCTAGCTTTGGGGAATGACGGAAGCCCTGCGGTGAAACTGATGTTGTGTAGGGTCAAGTTCAATCCTCAGGCCCAATTCACCCACCTTTGATCCCATTCTCCTCCTGAGGAACCTGGAGGATCGGCCCTGCCTCTCGTTCGTCCCAGCATCAGATTAGCTGTAGTCAGAACAGGGAAAGGCCCCTTGTTTTGCATGAAAAGCAGCAAAAATTCCTCCTGTCCACATCCACTTCTCTTCCTCTGCCCCTCCCAGGCCTTGGGGCTTGTAGGGGGGGACCCCAGACGGTTGCCCACACCCGGCCCCACTGTGGCCGCTGATGTCCCTCGGGAATACTGGGCAGCACTAAGGGCCTGGTTTCTGGGGAAGCTAAGAGGAAGATGGCCTGCCTGTGGCCTGAGTTAGGGTCTCCAAAGAGGGGTTGAAGGATTGGGGCTCAAGTCTGACGCCCCAGACTTCCTGCTTACCAAGGGGCCTTCAGGAATTCTGGATGAAAAAAATGCATCACCAAGGAATTTGTGTTCAGTCACTGCACTGACGGGAGAGGGAACCCACAGAGGGAAAGGCCTTGCAGCGTTTCCACAACTAAGGCAGACCAGGCGCCATGGCCCCCGTCCCACCCCAGCCCAGTGCTCTGGACACACGAGAGTTCCTGCTAGCTGCCAGCCTGGGGCTGTGCCCTGCCTGCTGCCCACACACACCAACGGCAGCAGCAGGGCTCACAGGGGTTGACCTGCTGCTGCAAACAAAGCACACCACCATCCGAGGCCTGGGGTAATGATGTGAATCCCCACCAAGTGCCCGTCAGCCCTGCCCCAGTCTGCAGGGAACTCGGGACCGCAGCCCCCACAGTACCTGGCAAGCTTGGCTGGTCATGGAACCTTGGTTTTCCCATCCTTAAGAAGGCTTTGTGCACTGTCTCAAATGGATCTTCACAACCCTTGTGTTTGGGCGAGCTCTGGGTATCTTAACTTTGCTTTTCGGAGGGCCTTATTCAGAGAGCAGACCCGCAGCCTCTGTAAAAACAGAAATGCTGAGAGGCAAAGCTGGAAAGGGCTGTGAGTCCACCTGGAACAACTTCCTTACGAGACACACAGGGAAACCGAGGCTCGGCTGGGCAAGAGCCCAGGACTCCCAGCACCCAGTCCGGGGCCCTCTGCTGCCCAGGCTGTGCAGAGGCCCTCAAGATGGCCCAGCCGACCGCAGGAGGCAAGGCTTCCAGCGCACAGCCACCGGGAGTGGAGGGTGGGGCCCTGGAGCAGGAGGGCCCCCAGGGAGTGGCCCTTCACAGAACCCTGGCGCTGTTCTCAACCACTTGCAGATTGTATCTCTGTTAAAGAAAAAGCTCTTTGAGAAGCTGCAAAGCTCTGCCTTTGACCCCCAAACTGGCATCTTTCCTCTGACCCATCAGATCTACAAAGATGGGAAACTGACACCAAAAAGGAAAAAATGTCATTTCAAAGTTAGGTGTCAGTAACCAGGGGGTCTCCCAATGCGCTGCATCCACCTCCACCACCTCCCTCCCTAACCTCCGCCCCACCCAACGCCAGCACTAGCCAGTCCCGACGGGCCAGTCTTCCAACCCTGAAGCGGCAACCTCCTGACCTCTAGGGGTGAGATCGAGGAACTGCACCCCCCGGCCCGTGCATGTCCAGTCTTTGTTCCTGCCCAACTGAGAACCTCTCGATGCATGGACTCTGGCTGTCCTTGACACAGACTCTCGTGCACTGCTTAACACTGTTTTGCTACCATGTGACGGGTGCAGACCATCCTTAAACTGCAGCCCCACACACAATTTTTGTACTTTCGTCTGACCTACCCAAAGGTGTCCTTTTTAAGTCTCATTTGTTAATATTTGTAAAGACATATAATCCAAAGTAAATGGAAACGTTCATTGCAATCTATTGGCTTGGGAGATCATTTAATAGATTTGGAAGGGTGGGCAGGAAAGAGCGAGGAAATGGCAATGGAGCTTATTCAGCACATTCTCCCATTTACTCTTCACCAGGAATTCATTTGAGGTAGGTTCCCATGTTACATATGAGAAAACAGGTTCAAAGAGGTTGGACCTCTGCTAAGTGACAACCAGAATTCAACTCCTGTTGCCCAAAACACTCTATACCAGGAACAGCATGCCACACTGCCAGCCGCCCATTCAGCAACCAGCTGTGGAGTATTAGCTTTAATGCCAGGCACCAGGCTAGTCTAGATTCTAGGTCTAGGCTCTTGGAGCAGATTCATCAAGACAATAAGCAGTACGTATAACAACGATTATGGTAAAAGACTTTTAAATGGGCACGTGGGCTAGATTGGTTGGCTTACATAGGGAGGGCAGCCGGGCCCCTGGAGAAATGACTTACACGCTAAGACGTGGAGCAGGTGAGGCACTCGGTGGACTTGAGGCAGAGTATTCTGAGAGAAGGGAATAGCCCGTGGCTGGAGCAGGGTGGGGCAAGAGAAGAGCAATAGACGAGGGTACTGGAGACCAAGGAGGGCTTTATAGACTGGCTTTCACTCTACAGGAGAGGGAAGCTGACTTCATTCCTCACAGGCTCCCACCAGAGAACAGACCTGTCAGGCAGGTGGTCAGTCCCTGTGGGGAGGTCTCCCGTGGAGGCATGCTGGTGAGTCCAGGGTTCCAGGTCTAACTGGTGTCCAGTCTCCAGAGCAGTGGCAGCCGGGTCCTGACCGAGCCTGCTGAGACATGACTCTGGTCAAGGTTCTGGCCACCAGCCTTATTTTCCAGTTCTCCCACCCATCCTCTGAACTACCTGATACCCTTCCAGTGCGTTCCTCCTCTGCTTATGTCAGCCAGAGTCAGAACCTGTTTTTTTGACAAAGAACACTGGTCCTCTGACACAATCTAATCATCTAGGTCTCACTCAAGTGTTATCTCTTTGTGAGACCCTGACAACCTCCGTCATGTCACCATGGCCCTTATCAACAAAACCATCCTGTGCACTTTCCCCCCTCACGAACCTTCATGAGAACTGGGGCCACATCTTTCTTATTCACGAGTTACTCCATACCAGGACTAAGCATAGAGTAGCCCTCTTTGCTGGATGAATGGATGAAAACTGCCACCATAAACGCTATTTGAAGGGAACCACGTCCGTGTGTCTGGAGCATGTGATGACATGTTGGGAAGAGTGTAAGTGAAGGGAACAGCCAGCGCCCCTCCGGGTGGGGCAGGCTTGGAGTGACTGAGGAACAGCCCATGTGGCTGGAGCAGGGTGCGGCAAGGGAAGAGCTATAGATGAGGCGTTTGGTCAGGAGACCGAACCGAGGAGGACTTCATAAAGCCCAGCAGTAAGTGTGCAAAACTCCTGTTGACCCCAGCGTCCTGGAGTACAGATGAGAAAGGAACCCAGGGACCACAGGCTCATCCTGAGAAGAGAGGGAGGAACTCGGGGAGGAGGAAGAAACAGAAGGAAGCCTCGCGGAGGCTGAGGATGAACGAAAAGGAATGGTGGGAGTGGGTCTGGGAAAAGCTGCAGAGGCAGGTGGGAGTCAGGAAAGCTAGCTACGACACTCGGCCCCAGGAGAAGGGAGAGCTCAGGATGACCAGACATGGTTTTCCTATTGTCCAGTCCCAGGAGGAGAACTCCAGGCAAGGGCTGAAGAGAGGTCTAGAAACCAGTTACACCAGGAGGGGCATGACCCTGACACCCAGGGCCGGCAGCCATGGGGAGGGAACGCAGACTCCCTGTCCGGTGGAGCCAGTGTTGCAGTATGAATCCTGACGGCTAAGATTCCTTGGTGCATAAACAAGCACTGTGCTAGCCTCTATGACAGTTAAACAGATCATCTCCCAGCCAAGAAACTACAGAACAAGTCTTAGATGGGTGCGAAATGAGGTGGTGCATTAGGGCAAGACTGACAGAAGGCCGAGCTCAGCCTAGGCTGTGAGGCAGGAACAGGCGAGGACCAGCACCGCCTCTATAGTCAGACCTGGCCCGGGCACTGGTGGGCCCCGGCTCCCCAGGGGCTCCAGCACAGCGATGGCGGACAGCCTCCTCCGGAGACTGCTCTCCCCCCATACTCCACCACAATAAAGGCAGCAACCCCACGTCTGTCCCTGAGCACAGAGAGAACAGGCCATTAGGGGGCAGGCAATCTGTTCCTGTGCTATTTCAGCAGGGAGTCCCTAAAGACTCTAAGAAAATAGAGGACCTGAGAGAAGGTGTCAGAGTTACTTTAGTGGCAATAACACACAGAGACCTTCAGTAAGACATTTCGCACTTACTTAATCCTTATCATTATGAAATACTGTTTTAATCCCCACTTTACAGCTGGGAAAACTGAGGTATCGTGCTCAGGGATAAATAAGGGCTGATGTGGGAGTTGGACCCAGGCCTTATGGCTCCAGGATTCATACCCAAACCTCCACACCGACTCTGGGTGAAGCAGGTTGTGTGGCCAGGCCTAGTAGGTTCTTTAGATTCTCCCTCACTTGCCTCCACTCCCAGAACTAGCAACAGCCTGCTCTGCCAGAAAGGTTTCCCAGGCTCACCCTCAGGTCCTTATTGTCAGTCTTGACCCAATGCAGCGCTCAGCTCTGCCCAACAGGCTCCATCCGTCACAGCCCCCACATCCTGTGTGTGTGTCCCCTGGCCCCAGCAAGGCAAGCTCTGGAGATGTGGAACTGGGAGCACTTGTGTGGCTTCCCAGGGCCAGGTGTGAGCCAGTGTAAAGATACTGCATTAAAGGAATCAGAAAACAGAAACCAAGCTCTCAGAGCTTCCTGGCTTCTCCCCTCCATTGCCCTGCACCCTTCTCCGTCCTCTTGCCTCTCGGTACTCACTTTCCATCCAAACTGGCATGGCCTCAAGCCTAAGACTGGGTGTCTTTTTTTTTCTTTTTTCTTTTTTTTTAAATATATCTTATTGAATTTTTACAGAGAGGAAAGAAGAGGGATAGAGAGTTAGAAACATTGATGAGAGAGAAACATTGACCAGCTGCCTCTTGCACACCTCCTACTGGGGATGTGCCTGCAACCAATGTACATGCCCGTGACCGGAATCGAACCTGGGACCTTTCAGTCCGCAGATCGATGCTCTACCGCTGATCCAGAACGGTTTCGGCTCTGGGTGTCTTTCAGTTTGGCTCCCCACACCTACCTGGGAATGTCTTCTGACTGGACTCTTAATTTAGCTTCTCCAGAGAAATGGCTTACTACTCATCGCCTCACGTAGAAGGGCCCGGGGGAGGTCATGTGGTAAAACCATGGCTGTGGGCAAAGCACACAAGGTCAAATATGTCTTTCACAGTAAGTCCCTAAGCCAGTGGGGGGAGGAGGTGCCAGCCAAGGAAAGAGGGGCATAAGCCAAAGACTAGTGCTGCAGAATGCCAGGGCAGAAACGATTCAAAAAGCAAAGGCCAGCCCAGCCCACGTGGCTCAGTGGTTGAGTGCTGACCTATAAACTAGGGGGTCACAGTTTGATTCTCATTCTGGGCACACACCTGGGTTTTGAACAGGAAACAGCTGATCAATAATTCTCTCATCACTGATGTTTCTTCCTCTCCCTTCCTCTCTCTGAAATCATTAAAAACATATTTTAAAAAGAACTTTCTTCAGCCTTCCCTATTGTGAAATTTGCGCACATTTAGTTGTATCTAAAAACTAGAGGCCTGGTGCATGGATTCGTGCACCAGTGAGGTCCCTCAGCCTGGCCTGCACCCTCTTACAACCCAGGTCCCCTCGGGGGATGTCAGACTGCTGGTTTCAGCTTGGTCCCCACAGTTCAGGTCAAGGAATCCCACTGGTGCAAGAATCTGTTAGTATGCAGGTAAGATCCTTTGTTAATCTCTTCCAGCTCTCCCTCTCTACCCTCCCCCAAGATTCATCAGTCTGTTCCATGTTTCCATGCCTGTGTGTTGAGTGTCTGCCCCCTGATGGTCAGTGCATGTCATAGCTACTGGTCCAACGGTCGCTTAGGCATATGCATATATCACTTTCATTCCTGATGTTTTCACTAGATATACAATTCTGGATTAGCTTTCTTCTCTTTGAGCACTTTAATGTTGCTGTTCTATTGTCTTCTGCCTGTTATTCTAATGAAGTCAGTGATTTGAATTATTCCCTTGTATATAATTGGTCTATTTGTCACTATGTATGCATGCTGTTTTCAATGTGTTTTTCCTTTAATGTACAACAGTTTGATTATAAGGTGCTAAAATGTTCATTTTCATTATTTATTTTACTTAATTTTCTCTAGGCTTCTTGAATTGTAAATTTGCCTTACACAAAATGTGAGAAAATTTTAGTCATTCTTAAATTTTCCATCCCATTTTTTCTCTTCTTTCCTTCTGGAACTACAGTTCTAATATGCTAGAACTTTTTTTTTATCTCATGAGTCCCATGAGGCTCTGCTCATTTATCAAAAATATATACCTAACAACTTCAAGTCCACTGACCCTCTAAAACTTTTCTTATTCAGCATTTGCCCATCCAAAGAATTTTTACTTAAGATAATTGTATTTTTAAGATCCAAAATGCCTGCTTGGTTTTTTATAGTTTCAATCTCTCTGCTAAAATTTCCTCTTTTCATTTGTCAGACATATTTTGCCTTCATCCTTGGACAGTTATAATAGCCGCTTTATTTATTTTATTTTTAATTCTATTGATTTTCCACAGAGAGGGAGAGGAGAGGGATAGAGGCTAGAAATGTCGATGAGAGAGAAACATCGACCAGCTGCCTCCTACACACCCCCTACTGGGGATGTGCCCACAACCAATGTACACGCCCTTGACCTGAATCGAACTTGGGACCTTTCAGTCCACAGACCGACGCTCTATCCATTGAGCCAAACCGGTTTCGGCTATAATAGCCACTTTAAAATCCTTGTCTACTATTGTGGGAAAACAAGAATAAAACTTTTTATCTGCTAATTTACATGCCTGGGTCCATTTTAGGGACATCCTTCATTGATAGTCTCTTGACTATGGATCATGTTTTCACATTTCTTCTGATGTGTTATTGTAAATAAAATCTAAAATTTGCTATGTTCCTCTGAAGACAACTTATATCAGACAATTACTTGGCTGAAACCAAATTGAAAATTCTATCTCACTGGCAATGGATGGCAGCTAAAATATATCAGTTCACCCAGCAAAAGATTTTTGAGGAAGTTTTTTGACATATTCTTAAATGTTGACTTTAATGTTTCAAAGCACAATGGCATAATCTGAACAAATCTATGAATTCTTCAGAGGATTCTTTTCTAAATGGCAGCCATAAAAAAATAAAAGTCCCCAACTGTAAAAACTAGGTCTTACTGAGCTTTAAATCTCCTTCAAAGATTTGGCAGCACAAATGATCTTGTCCTCGTCTTTCCTTCTTTTGGATTAAGTATTTCTTAGATACAGGTTTTTAGCTATACCTCTTAGCATCATTTTTATATAGTGCTTGCCCTAAGTATTAATTACCATATATCCTTAGTCTTTCAAGGTCTTCTTAGAGTTATTAGGTCTAGTAATAATTAATGTCTTTTTTAAATCGAATTTATTTAAATACAACAAAATTTAATCAACAATATAGTTGCCGTTGTTTTCTACTACTTGTGCCCAACGCTCAGGAAGCATTTTAATCCCTCTGTTGTAAAATTCTTGTGATTTTGATGCAAAAAATTCGGTCAATGCATTTTTGAGGCATTCTTCATTATTAAATTTTTTTCCAAGAAGAAAGTTTTGCAAAGAACAAAACAAATGGTAATCGGAAGAGGCAATATCAGGAGAATAGGCAGGTTGAGGGAGAACTTCCCATTCCAACTGGCGCAGTTTTTCAGCAGTGATTCTTGCAGTATGCGGTTGTGCGTTATCATGGTGAAGAATTACGCCCTTCCGATTAATCAGCGCGGGTTCTTTTTCTCTTAAAGCTTGGGCTAACCTTTCCAATTGGGCACTATACACTGCACTTGTAATGGTTTGGTTAGATGGTAAAAGTTCATAATGAAGAATTCCTTTAAAATTCCACCAAACACACATCACTTTTTTCGCATGCAAGTCAGGTTTTGGCGTGGGCTGCGGAGCCTCATTTTTGTCCAACCATTGAGGCCGCCTTTTCAAATTAACATACAGCACTCATTCTTTATCTCCGGTAACAATTTGCTCTAAAAACGGCAAACGGTTTTGACGAGAGAGGAGCGAACTGCAAATTGTGACTCTTTGATTACGGTTGTTGTCGGTCAACTCATGAGGAATCCATTTTCCAAACTTTTGGACTTTGCCAAGTGCACGCAATTGATTGGAAATTGTTTTTTGTGAACAATTTAAAGTTGTCGCAAGCTCTTGTTGGGTAATTTGAGGATTTTGCACCAAAAGAGCTTGAAGAGCTTCTTGATCAAAATTGGACACACGGCCTCGACCACTCTTGTCATCTAACAAAAAATTTCCCTCGCGAAATTTCTCAAACCAACGCTGGCATTTTCTGGCGCTAACTGCATCTTGACCAAGAACACTACAGATGTTTTTTGCAGCCTCACTTGCTTTTCTTCCTAATTGGAACTCGTAAAGCATGCAGTGCCGAATATGCTCTTCATCCGCCATCTTCTTAGCCCTAGTTTTGCAACAAAAACCAAACCAAACACAAACTTTTTCAAGCAAAACTTGTTAATTGCACTTCACACGTTCTGTAGATACCACGTGTTTGAAGGTTATGTCAATACAAGTCAACGCCAAGCAAGATTTTAAATGAATGTTTAAAAACAACATTAATTATTACTAGACCCAATATTACATCAAGTAATTTAAGAAACTTGCAATCAAATGGATCTACTTACCACCCATTATGCCTCTTATGCTAGTTAGTATATAAATGATGTGCCTACATATTAACAATACAGATCTAATATTTCCTTTAAACACAAGATTTTTAAAGGGGGAGAGAAATAAATCTTTTATATTTACCTTCATATTTACCATTCAAGTGTTCCTCCATTCCTTCTTGAAAACCTATTATGAATGTCAATTGTTGTATCTTGATCTTAGTGCCATAGAAGAAAAACATTTGGTATTAACAAACATTTCAGGACCTAGAAATGTCAGGAATAGGCTCATGACATAAATGTTTAAAAAAAATTTTAATTTTAGTAAATCAAATCCAAACATAATTTAAAGAATACATAACTGGGGTTTATCCCAGGAATGTAGGATTGGTTTTAATCTTCAAAAGGCAATCAATGTAATTCATTATACTAACAAACTAAACACCAAAACCCAAAACTCACAGATACAAAATAGGCATTGATAAATCCAACTTCCATTCCTGAGAAAAACTCTTAGCAAACTAAAAATCCTCCACCTGGTAATGGGCATCAATGAAATGCTTTCAGCTAACATCGTAATAGAGTGAAAGAAAATGCTTTCTTCCATAGATCAGGAACAATACAAGGATGTCTGCTCTTAGCACTCCTATCCAACTGACCATAGCAAGTACTGGAGGTTTCAGGTAGTGTGATCAGGCAAGATAAAACGAAAATACTCCACTCTGCAGAAAAAGTTAAATCTCTGTATTCACAAGCAATGATTCTCTATGAAAAAAATCTGATGAAATCTACAAAATACTACTATTAGAACTAAGAAGTGAGTTTAGCAAGGTTGTAGGATATAAGATTAATATACAAATATCAATTTTATTTCTATATGCTATCAATAAGCAATCAAAAATTGAATTTTAAAAAGCAGTATTTTACCCAAACATCAAAAATTATTAAATATTTCCAAAACGGTTTGGCTCAGTGGATAGAGTGTCAGTCTGTGGACTGAGGAGTCCCAGGTTCGATTCCAGTCAGGGGCATATACATTGGTTGCAGGCACATCCCTGGCATGGGGTGTGCAGGAGGCAGCTGGTCGATGTTTCTCTCTCATCAGCGTTTCTGGCTCTCTATCCCTCTTCCTTCCTCTCTGCGGAAAATGAATAAAATATATATTTTTTAAAGTTATTAAATATTTATGAATAAATCTAACAAAACTAAAAAGAGTAAAAAATATTGCTGAGCCCTGACTGGTTTGGCTCAGTGTATAAAGTGTTAGCCTGCAAAATAAAGGGTCCTAGGTTCGATTCCAGACAAGGGCATGTACCTTGGTTGCAGGCACATCCCCAATGGGGGTGTGCAGAAGGCAACTGATCCAATGTTTCTCATCGATGTTTCTAACTCTCCATCCCTTTCCCTTCCTGTTAAAAAAAAAATCAATAAAATATATTTTAAATATATATATATTGCCAAAACCTGGCCAGTTTGGTTCAGTGGTGTCAGTCTAAACTCAGTTGCAGGCTTGATCCCCTGCCACATCAGTGCACATGTGGGAGGCAATCAATCGAAGTGTCTCTCTCACATGTATATTTCTCTTCTCCCCTCCACTTTCTCTAAAAATCAATGGAAAAGTATCCTCAGTGCAAGTTAACACAATATATATATATATATTGCTGAAATTAAAGAAGGCCTAAACTGTTAGATACTTGTTCATGAATCAAGACTCAGTATCATCACACTTCACAAAGATATAGAAATGGCAAATCAACATATAAAGATACTCCTCATTGATCATTATGAAATACAAATTAAGCTGAAACCGGTTTGGCTCAGTGGATAAAGCGTTGGCCTGTGGACTGAAAGGTCCCAGGTTCAATTCCGGTCAAGGGCATGTACCTTGGTTGCAGGCCACCCCCAATTGGGGGTGTGCAAGAGGCAGCTGATCGATGTTTCTCTCATCAATGTTTCTAACTCTCTATCCCTCTCTCTTCCTCTCTGTGAAAAATCAATAAAATATATATTTTAAAAATAAAATACAAATTAAGCCCTAACTGGTTTGGCTCAGTGGATAAGAGCATGGGCCTGCAAACTAAAAGGTCTCGGATTTTATTCCAGTCAAGGGCACATGCCCAGGGTTGTAGGCTCAATACCCTGTAGGGGGAATGCAGGAAGAAGGCAATCAATGATCCTCTTTCATCCTTGCTGTTTCTCTCTCTCCCTTCCTGAAATCAATAAAAAATGTACTTTAAAAGGAAATACAAATTAAAGCCACAATGAGATGCCACTATACATCTATTAGAATGGAAAATTTTAAAGGACTGACTATAGTGAGTGCTGGAGAGCATGTGGAGTAACAGAGCTTCAGACACTACTGATGGAATGTTAAATGGTACAACCACTTTGTCAAGCAATTTGACAGTTTCTTAAAAAACTAAATATACACCTACCACATTACCCAACCATTCCACTCCTACTTATCCACACAAAAAAGGAAATATATGCCCACATAAAGACTTGTACACAAACATTCAGAGCAGCTTTATTTATAACAAAAACTGGAAACCCAAATGTTCATCAGTAGGTGAATAAACAAATTGTGGTATATCATAACAATGGAATACTTCTGAACAATAAAGAAAATGAACTATTGATACATACATGATGAATGAACCTCAAGACAATTATGTTGAGTGAAAGGAGCCAGACATCACACCTAAAAAGAATATGCTGTGCGCTATATATAAAACTCCAGAAAACGTAAACTAAGGTAAAGTAACAGAAAACTAACTAGTGGGTTGCTTGAGGGCTAAGGGGAGAAATTACAAAGCACAACAAGGAAACTTTTGATGGTGAATGCTGTCGTGATTATAATGGTTTTAAAGGTGTATATACATTCCAAAATTTAAACTAATAGTTTGTATATGTGCACTTTATGTCAATTATGCCTCAATAAAGCTGTTTTTAATGAAAAAAACTTGTATCTTGCAGCAATTTTCTAAAGATAGTCAAGTATGCATACAGAATATTTTTCCTGTTTTACACATAATACATGTTATGTATCTTTTCTCATTTAACATATGCAGACATCTTTCTGTATTAGCAGAAATGATTTACCCCATTTTTTGTAACAGCAACATACTATATATAGTAAGGATGTACCATGATTGATGGACATTTAGGTTATTTCTAATTTGCTACTGTAATACTGAAATGAAAATATTCTGCATATATTTCTATGCATACACACATAAGCAAGAGGTGAGTGCATTTATAAGTTCATTTATATTGTCAAATAATCATCTTAAAAAGCCTCTCTCAAAACCTACATGAAACTCAGAATAAAGTAATTTAGCAAGGTCATGAAATATAAGTAGCAACAATTTCAAATTAAAAAAAAAAGCTAAAACACCACCAAAGCCCAGCGAGCATGGCTCCGCGGTTGAACATCAACCTATGAAGTAGGTTAGAGTTTGCATCCAGGTCTAAGTGCAATATACCCAAGTTGTGGGCTCAGGAGGCAGTCGATCAATGACTCATTATTGGTTTTTTCTCTTTCTCTCCCCCTTCCTCTCTGAAAGCCATAAAAATATATTTAAATAAACTTTTTAAAATAAACTAGAAATAATCCCAAAAAAAGATACCAGACCTAGAGAAAACTACAAAACATTATTGAAAAAAAATTACATCTAAATAAGTGGAGGGTACAAATGTCGATGAATTAAAGGACATAATTATATAGATGTTAATTCTCAAATTTATTATAGTCAATAAAATCCTAATCAAAATACTTTTGTTACTGTCCTATTGTTGAAATTGACAAGTTGATTGATTCTAAAATGTATATTAAAAAAGCAAAGTGCCAAGAATAACCAATATAATCTTGGACGACGACAAAAAACTGGAGGACTCACACTACCATATATTGAATTATTTCAAACCTACAGTACTGCAACAACACTATGACAAATAGACCAACAAATGGTGCTGGATCAACTGAAAAGCTAAAGAGAAAACTATTATTTTTAACAACTCCCTATTATCATGAGCAAAACTAGATGATTCTAGATCAAGATATGAGATCAAGCAATACTTTAAAAAAAAAAACCATAAAAGATTAATGATCTCAGGGCGGGCAAGCATTTCTTAAATAGGACATATAAAGCACCTGCCTTAAAGGAAGATAAGGGTAAACTGGACTATTTCAGAATTAAGTAGTTCATCAAGACATTATGGAAATGAAAGAGCGGCGCAAAGAATGGGTGATTACTGCAACAATTCCAAAGATATACTTTATAAATTATAAATATTTCCTAAAAACCATTAAGAAAATGACAAACCAACAGAAAAACAGGCAAAATTGGGTATTTAACAAAATCTCCATATACCCAATAAACCTATTAAAAAGTGGTTTCATTAATCACCAGGAAAATGCAAAAACCAGACTACTTCTATACAATCCCACCAGAATGCCACAGCTAAAGAGTGACCATACCAATGCCAGGGAGGAAGTGAAGAAACGGGGATTCTCATACACCAGGTAGGACTGTAAAACGGCAGCACTTTGGAAGTCTTCTAGTTGCTGGTCCTATTCTATTTTTTTATGTGAGTGGTAGGTAACTGTATGTTCCCTTTCTTAAAATGTGTTAATTGTACACTTCCAATGTATTTTTTATACCTTAAAAAAAAATCCCAACAGTGCATGTTTCTCTACATTCTTACAATATAACCTAAGTTTGCCAGGGTGAAACTAGCATCTCATTTTAGCTTATACCTCTTTAATGCAAATGAAGTTTTTTGTTTTATTTTTAAAGGTTTGTTCCTGTAATTCTCTTGAAAGCAAATTCTGAGTGTTCAACAGTATTATGGCCTGTTTAGCATAGCCACAAATGTGCAAATTGATGGGAAAGAAGTCCAAGGTGCTGAAATAAGCCCTACTCGCTATAGCACCAGAATTTTAAGTGGCAAAAGATCTTTGTAGAAGACCCAAAACCAAACAAAATGGGATGGAAACATGAGTGACAAGTGAGTGCCAGAAGTTTAGGTCTAACTGGAAAATGAGACAGGAGAAGCCCCTGACATAATCCATACTGTTCAGATTATACAAGTACACATTTGCCACTTCAAGTGAGACTCAAATGTCTCAAATGAAGGAACTTTGCCCTGACAGGTTTGGCTCAGTGGATGGAGCATCGGCCTGCGGACTGAAGGGTCCCAGATTCGGTTCCGGTCAAGGGCATGTGTCTTGGTTATGGGCACATCCCCAGTGAGGGGGTGCAGGAGGCAGCTGATGTTCCTCTCATCAATGTTTCTCTCTCCCCCTCTCCCTTCCTCTCTGTAAAAAATCAATAATATATTAAATATATAAAATACAAACAACTTTAAGAAAAACCATCTGCACCCCTCCTTAAACATAGCAAGTCTTACCTACAACCCCATTGTGAGCTGATGGTGCAAGAGTACCAACCTAAGATCTTCCCCAGAGCAGTAACTATGACCATAAAAAGCTAGAAAATAATGTATTTTAGAAATATTTCCACCAAAAGTGGCTAAAAATGAGGTTAACCTGAGGGTATTAAGACTTTGGTTCTCTAGAAAACTGTAACAGCACTGAGGCAACTTGACAATCTATAATCACCGATGATTCACTTGTCCAAGCTAACCTATTTTATTATTTTTTTAAATATTTTATTTTTTACAGGGAGGAAGGGAGAGAGATAGCCCAAAACATCAATGAGAAACACCGACCAGCCGCCTCCCACACACCTCCCACGGGGGATGTGCCCGCAACCAATGTACATGCCCGACCGGAAGGAACCGAACCCGGGACCCCCCCCCAATCCGCAGACCGACGCTCCACCACTGAGCCAAACCGGTTTCGGCAAGCTAACCTATTTTAAATTAGAACTGCTTCAAACTGTAAAAAATACTAATCTTAAACTTATAAAGCTACAGATAAAAGACAAGTTGCCAAAAAATTTATCCTAGGTAGTAAAACTTCCTCTCTTCCTTTTTTAGACAGTAACCACCTCAGAGCCCTTTATAGTTTACATCCTATTTTAATTCTAATGAATAAAAGATGACAGCTTTTGAAGGAGTATCTCAATTGTAAACCTTTTCAAGGGATATCTCAATTGTAAAACATATGCTTACCTCAGAAATGTTAAAATACACATATCTTAAGTGATCACTTTAGGATAGAGAAAATCGTTTCAATAAACACTGAGTTTTAATACAGAAAAAGGTAGAATGGCTTAAGGACTAAGAGCATGGGCTCTTTAGTCTTAAGAACCTACCTGTGAATCCTGCTTGATTACTACCAGCTCTGTGGGTTTGGGAAAGTTCAACTTTTCCCTATTTCAGTTTTCCCACTTGCAAAATGCAAGTGGCAGCTCACCTAAGTATTACCACCTATGTGCTACATTGCAAATGCATCTTAATGTAGCACAGTACCCACTCTATAGTTAATAATCAATATAAGCCTAGTAACTCTTAGATATACAAGATAGGGTTGAATTTGTCCCATTCAGAATCACCACCTCTACAAGATCACAATTCCTTTAATCGTCAATCTCAGAATTTTACCAGGAATCCCTGTGAACTTTAACTTGTAACAATCTTCAAAACAAAGATCTTTATGCCAGTTTTTCAGCATGTTCTCCCTTCTCTATTGTCCTAGGATCAGCAGCATATTAGTCGACTCATAAACTCTTACACGGCCTTTTTCAGGGGAAGGCGAAGTTAGAAGTTACTCCACAACTTTTCCCCTTAGAATGACCTAAGTTCATTCTCATCTTTCTAAAAGCAAAATATAACATTGGAGGTTTGCTTTTCTGGCCAGCCATCCCAGAACCCAAGCATAGGTACCAATACCCAATTATGCGCACTAATATTTTAGAAAGCATGTGTCTAAAATTTTTTTCCAAATCAACCCTGGTTGGCACGGCTCATTTGGTTGGAGCATCGCCTGTACAACAACAGAAGGTGGTGGGTTCAATTCCCTGTCAAGGCACATAGCCAGGTTGCAGGTTCGATCCATGGTTGGGGCATGTGCGGGCAGCAGCCAATCGATAGATGTTTCTCTCTAAAATCAATACATACCCCTCGCTGGTTTGGCTCAGTGGACAAAGCATCCGCCTGCAGACTAAAGGGTCTCGGGTTTCATTCTGGTCAAGGGTTGCAGGCTCAATCCCCATGAGAGGGGGTGCAGGAGACAGCCGATCAATGGCTCATCACTGTTTCTCTCTCTCCCTTCCACTCTGAAATCAATTAAAAAATTTTAAGTCAATAAAACTTCTTACAAATCAAAACACTTAAGATTATTTAAAACTCAAATTAACTGCCTTCAAGTTACAATGGCAACTTGAGTTTTTCTAGAAATCAATTGATCTAAAACCAGAGCTGAAAAACTCCACCTTTCCTAACCAGTTACAGGACAGTGTCCCCTTTCTGCAATCTTCGCATCTGTGACAGAGGTCTTTCTAAAGACCTGTATCAATACTCACTCTCTTAACTACCTCAATGTTTTTCTTGGGTGGCAGGTTTTCTCTCAATACCAAGACTGCCACATCCTTTAAAGACAGGATAGGTAATGAATTAATTTGGAATACTTAAATGTTCTTCACAGCCAGGTTACAGATCATCTTTTTCCAAAAATATACATCATTTTTTTAGAAACAGATACGTGATATATGCAAGAAAAAGAGAACTTTTCACATTCAGGCAAGTAACATCATTGTGCTTAGGCTAGAGATTTTATTTTAAAAAGATAAAAGATGGAGGCGCAATAATATTTGGCATTTTTAATTTAGGTTTGTTTTATTTAAGTTTAATGTTAATTCCATGCTGTGTTTCAGTAAGAACAATACAGATTCTGTATCTGTGGCTCCAGTCAGATATCCAGTAGTACAAATTAGCTTCAAGTTACACATACTGAACAAAAGAGGTTGAGCGAGCGAAGGAGGGGGAGGCCAGGGAGAGGGAAGGAGAAGAAACGAAGAATTGAACACGCATGCAGGCTTTTCCATACCACCTTCAACGCTAACCTGCTTCAGAGGGAGAGTAAAAGTAGGCAAGAATGAGCAGCCACGGATTGTTGAACTGTTTACCAGCACCATGCTTTTCAGCAGAGTTTGAATACTTTTTACAGCAAAACCATTACAACAAACTCCCCAAACAACCTTTAACCACCTCAAGCTAACACCCAATTAATCTTAAACATTGGTATAAAATTCAATCTAAACAATTAGAAAAAGGAAAAATGATACCACATATGCCACTATAGTGTGATTAACCTCTCTCTTAGATGCTTCACCTAGAAGTCTAATGGCTTTCAGATGTAATTTCCATTTCTAATGGTGACCTTGCCACATCTGGCAGGAGACAATACAGTAATGCTGAAAAAGCCTCTATACAGTCCTGTTAGTGTCTTAAAGAACCTAAAAGCTGGGACCAGTAAAATCCACAGAAATTCACTCTTGCCTTTAAGAACTTTTGAAAACTGTTTTGTTTAAAAAAAAAAACAAAAAAACCAACAGGGCAGGAACCTAAATTCTGAGACCAAATGTAAAAGTCAGATTTCGTGGTTCTCAGTGACAATGGGGGAATTTCCAAGAGGGGGTGGGATGGGAAGGAGTGGGGTGGTCAGAGATGGTTTCTCTTGTTGGCTTTTATGTCTCACTGATTTTCATCTTCCACATCCTGCAGCGCTTCTTTATTCTGCTCTTCACCTGCAAAGAAGAATAAGTTACTTATTTCATACTGACTAAATTAGGCAGTAATGGTCACAAACAAAGGTATCATTCCAAACATAAAGAAAGACCCCTTACATTTGCTACAATTGGTATTAAACACACAGACAAGCAAAGAACTTCTACCATCCTTGATACCAGAGATGCCTAAGCCAAGAGGTGCTGCTGGATCAAAATCTTACATGGTCAATAGTTAGGAGCAAAAAAATAACTGACACACAGTAAAAATCAATGTTTTTACCCTCAATAAGCTCTTGTAAACAGCCATGGTACCATATTATTAAAATGATTTTCAAGCTTTCATGTACATTGTGTCAAAATACCCTTTTCTCAATAACCTCACTTCATCGTGAATCAGGAGTATTTTACAATTTTTTGCAAAATCTAAATTATCCACAAACTTCCTATCAGAAATGCTTCAAAAAAGAAAACCGAGCAGTAAAATGCTCCAAAGGCCTTCTACAGTTTTAGAGAGGGTTCTGCTTTTGTGTGTTTTCCATTTTGTATCTTGGCCAATCACATACAAACCATAACCGGATTTCTCCCTTCGGGTGAAACAGCTCTCACACCAAACCAGAGGTTATAAAGAAGAGTATTTGGACCAGTCCTCTCATGCCGTTTCCCTTCCCCCTGAACAGGACCATTAGCCTGCAGAGTTTCACCTGCACTGTGACATGCAACAGAATAGAAAGCCGGCCTATTCATCTACCTATTAATGAGCATTAAACAAGTCAGCCATAATAAAGAAGCATGCACACTTTAGCTTAAAAAAAAACCAAACACATTATTTTGTGCCTTAAAAAATCATTTATAATTCTTACATATTACTAATTTCAATCAAAGTAATTAAAAAATCAATGAATTGATCTAATAATCATAATATGACAGTTCAGACCATCCATTCATACTGCTTGTTAAATTAATTAGGATGGACAATGACACTAACTCTGATTGTCTACCCTTAGGAATTTTTAAAAACAATCTTTACAGATAAACAAGCACTAAGGGTTAAAGATTAGTTTGTCATTTAAATTTTCCTTTGTGATAAAAATTTTTAACATAGATATGTGACTCTAAAAAGTACTTGAGGTACATAGATTTTTTACTTATATACAGAAAAAGACATGCAAACGAAAAGACAAAAATATCCATTTACTGAGGAAAGAAATGATGGACCACCCAGATATTCTTCCCCCAAGAAAAATATGTATTCAAACTTAGGAAATGATAGGAACATTCACTCACATTTTAAACAGCAATATAATGCATCAAAATATGGTTAACATACAACAATAGAGCACACTCTAATTCACTCATAAGCAAACATTAGATTTGCCAAAAGTTCCAAGTAACTTTGGCACAAAAATACTGTCACATAAATCACACCCAACCAAAGGTGATAGATAGGGAATAGCAGATCATAAATGTCTTAGAAGGTTTTGCATCCTGGAATGTAAAACAGGCAGTTTTGTAAGCAACAGGATGATGATGATATGCAAGCATGATTAGTGAAGAACCAAAACTTAAAAGCAGAATTCACTGTGCCATGATAATGACTTACAAAGTAGTTTTTAGGAAAGGAAGAGTTGGATTTTCCTTTAGGAATCTATATTGCAAGGAGAAAGGGAGGGAGAACATCACATGAAAGCAACATTACAAGAAAAATAAACCGAGAGCAGGACAAAGGAAAAACATCAATGATTTTTAGGGAGAGTCAGATTTTGGTCTTTTTACTTTATATAAACTATAAACTTCAGTCTAAGAAATACTGTTCCTTTTCTTTTACCTTTAAGGAGGATGGAATAATATCCTTTTAAAAGGTATATAGAAAAGTTTTCCTTGGATGTATTTCTTTGCCCACTGTTTCTAGATTTTGGAGGAGGAAGAGAAAACACACATTTCCTTTCTGTGGGTTTGCATATGAACCAGTCCTCTCTGATCACAGATTAAGAAAAAAAGGACTGAAATGGCTTCATGAGAAAAAGTTGTGATCCCTTTAAAGAATTACGTTCCAACACACTCAGACAGACATAGCATATTCTGCAATCATAAAACATAAATGTGTATAAAAATAAAAGCTTGTGAACCACATATTTTTCCTTTAGAAACCCTCAATTCAAATGTTTGGCACAATTTTTTCTAGTTCATAAAATAAAAAGAAAACCACCTATTTAATCCTTAAACTAAATTCAAGTAACATCCTGGAAAACTACCAATTTTATGACCACAATTCTTCTATCTTCAGCATTGATTCTAAGTCATAAAACAAATTTAATAAATCATATGTAATGCTATACCTTTTACCAAAACTAGCAAACAATTTCTTAGTACCCACAATTTATAACTTCACATAGTTTGTTAATTTTAATAAAAGGTCAAGATACTACTTGAATTTTCCAGTATTTAACTAGCATGTTTCATAATTCCAATATGAATTAGTTTATAATAAAGCTAAAATTGATTTCAAACAAATTTAATGAACCATTCAACTTACAAAGTCAAAAGAATTTAAAGCAACTAGATTAAAAAAACAACAAACAACTCAAGATTAATTTTATGCCACCCTAGTTTGGCTCAGTGGATGAGCATCAGGACCTGTGGACTAAGGGCACATGCCCATGTTGTGGGCTTGGTCCCCAGTAGGGGGCATGCAGGAGGCAGCTGATCAATAATTCTCTATCACTGATATTTCTCTCCCTCTCGAAAATCAATAAAAATACATTTTTTAAAAGATTAATCTTATGCTAAAAACCTTCCCAACTATGAGAACATACGTAGTTTAAATATCTTATTGTAGCCCGGCTGGTGTGGATCAGAGGTTGAGCATCGACCTAGAACCAAGAGTCACACATGCCCAGGTTGGGGGCTCAGTCCCCAGTAGGGGACGTGCAGGAAGCAGCCAATCAATGATGTTCCTCTCTCATTGATGTTTCTGTCTCTCTCTATCCTCTTTCTCCCTCGCATGCACACGTATGTGTGCGGGAGAGTGAGCGTGTGTCTCCTATTTTAAAATTATTCATTTAGTAAAATGACACCCGATAACAAAACAGAGTATCTTTGATTCTGTATAAAAATGGAGTGACACGCTGAAACCGGTTTGGCTCAGTGGATAGAGCGATGGTCAGTGGACTGAAAGGTCCCAGGTTCGATTCCAGTCAAGGGCATGTACCTTGGTTGTGGGCACATCCCCAGTAGGGGTGTGCAGGAGGCAGCTGATCAATGATTCTCTCTCATCAATGTTTCTAACTCTCTATCCCTCTCTATTCCTCTCTGTAAAAAAAAAAAAAAATCAATATATTTTTTTTAATGGAGTGACATATAGTCTACTATCAATCAATTCTTGGTTATCAGTGATAATAAACCAAAGTAGCACTAGAAAATATAAGCTTTATTTCTATCTATCATTGTAATTTAATAACTTATGAGTTGGCATCAAATGTCAACCCAGGTCATCTTTGTTATTTTTAGCCTCAAATAAATGTTCCCAGATCAGAGGTGTATAGTTTATTGATTAGGCCAATATGGCTTAACCAAGTTATTAGTTCAAAGATGATAAATTGGTCTTGAATCCCAGATTCATGGTAGCGGTTACCTGAAGTGCTGTATTGAAAAGTAACCGATGGCTACATCTGGCTTTGCTGGAAAAGTACAGAATATTGATCCAAGAGGCTACAGCTAGTCTCAATGAAACAGTTAAAAATGACAGCAAACCTTTTGTTTCCACTCTGCATCACAGTAACAACTGTAAAACTATCTATGGTCAATTACACTAATTTGTCCTCCCCCATTTTGTGTATGAAAATGACTCTTTGGAAATAAGCAGAATAAAATCTCCTTTAAAATAAAAAATAAAAAAGTGAAATCTGGGCTTTTACTACATTTAGAATAAACAGTAAATCCTCTACCTCACCATAAGATTAAGTTCTATAAATTACTCTAGTAATTGTTTACTACTTAAAATCCTTAAAAAAAAAAAAACAAAAAAAAAAAAACAAAAAACACCAGACCTCTTATTAAAAAGGACCTGAGGGCAGGACATTCCATTTGCTGTACAGAATCCAGACTGGAAAAATTCTTTTTTGGATAAAAGATTTCCAGAAGATGTTTCATAAATAAATATCTCCTGCCACCATCTAGTTCAATCTGAGGACACAACTCAAAGCAGTGATATGACACTCAAAACTACAATGAACTCCAGCCCCCTAAAACTGAATCTGAGTAAGATAAAATATTCCTCTCCATCTTTCAAAGCAGTGTGAGGGAAGAGGTAAACTAAGCTTAGCAAACATTACTTAGAGGTAAAATTTTTAAATCTTCAAATATTAATAAAATATTCCCCTTTATCACCTTATAGCCCAGAATGGAAGAATGTACTCTGGTATCTTTTTATGAAAATGTAGTAACTAAACTTGGTTTAGAGGAAATTGTAACTTGATGTAAAATACCAAGGAGCCCTAGCCAGTTTGGCTTAGTGGAGAGAGTGTCAGCCTACAGAGTGAAGGGTCCCAGGTTCCATTCTGGCCAAGGGCACATGCCCAGATTGAGGGCTAGGTCTCCAGTAGAGGGCATGTAGGAGGCAACTAATAAATGATTCTCATAACTGTTGTTTCTATCCCTCTCCCTTCCCCTCTGAAATCAATAAAAATGTATTTTTAAAAATAAGGAATTTTTAAGAGTAAAAAGATCCACCTACAGAGGGAGACATTTAACTTCAGCTTCCTTACCATCACCCTGCATGTCTGAAGTCCATAGTGTCAGATTATCACGTAACAACTGCATGATAAGTGTAGAGTCCTTATAGCTTTCTTCACTCAGCGTATCCAGTTCTGCAATTGCATCATCAAAAGCTGCTTTTGCCAACCTACAAGTATATAGATAAATGTATTACAAAAATAAAGTTCAAAAACAGAATTAGAAATGATGTTAGATGTCACTCTTTTCTTCAATTATTCCACAATATGTAATAGTGACACTGAGTACTTGGGTTTAGGCATTAAAATAAAGAAAAAGCACATTAACTGATGAAAATTAACTTTCCACTTAACACATTGCAAGCAGATCATGAGCATTCTCGTGTTTTCCTATTACACAGTGTTTTACATAAACGTTAAAGGAATGCCTTAAAATTAAGCATCCATTGTATTCTAAAGTTATTACATGTTCTTACAAGCTAATTTTTTTAAAGTATGATACTTTGAAAAAAGTTTTTTGTACTCATTCAATAGAAACTTATCTGGCCACTGAGTAAAGCTAGCAATAAAACTACTGGTGTACAGCCGAAACCAGTTTGGCTCAGTGGATAGAGCATCAGCCTGTGGACTGAGAGGTCCTGCATTCGATTCCGGTCGAGAGTATGTACATTGGTTGAGGGCACATCCCCAGTGGGGGGTGGGCAGGAGGCAGCTGGTCGATGTTTCTCTTTCATCAATATTTCTAGCTCTCTTTCCCTCTCCCTCCTTCTCTGTAAAAAAATCATTAAAAAAACAAAAAAAACAAAAAAAAAACTACTGGTGCACAATGTGTTAATTTTATAATCTAGCAACTTTTGGACTGAACAGAACTTTTAGAGCATCACTTCTTACTATGCTTTCAGCAAGCCTATCAGTAAATAAGACTGTATAGACCAAATTCCAAACTAAAGCACCACCAAAATATATGCATAAAAGTTATTTCCAAGTTCCAGTCAATAGATCACTTAATAGTTTTAATGCAAAAATAAATTTTTAAACAGTATCTCAGTTTAATTCAATAGAATTTAATGTTAATGAAAGTTAGTTTCCCAAAACAAAAAGGGCAATACAGAACCTATGGAATGCCATTATAAAACTCATTTACTATAGGTTTAAAATAAACAAAATCCACATTGATTAAGTACTGTGTACTATGTACACCAAGTGATATTAGTCACAAATGGGGAAACAGAAAAGAGGAAAAGGAGTCATAACTGGTTTTGCTCAGTGGATAGACTGTCGGCCTGCAGAATAGAGGGTCCCAGGTTCGATTACCAATCAGAGCACACGCCCGGCTTGTGAGCTCAGTTCCCCATGGGGGGCACGCAGGAGGCAGCTAATCAATGATTCTCTTTCATCGATTCTTCTCTCTCCCCCGTCCCTTCCTCTCTGAAATGAATAAAAAATAGAAAATGGAATAATATATAGAAAGAAAATAAGCATGTCTATATTAAAAATATACCTGCTGAGCCGAAACCGGGTTGGCTCAGTGGATAGAGCGTCGGCCTGCGGACTGAAAGGTCCCAGGTTCGATTACTGTCAAGGGCATGTGCCTTGGTTGCTGGCACCTCCCCAGTGGGGGGTGTGCAGGTGGCAGCTGATCGATGATTCTCTCTCATGGATGTTTCTAACTCTCTATCCCTTTCTCTTCCTCTCTGTAAAATAAATCAAAATATATTTTGCCAGGACCGGTTTGGCTCAATGGATAGAGCGTCAGCTTGGGGACTGAAAAGGTCCTGGGTTCGATTCCGGTCAGGGGCATGTACCTTGGTTGCGGGCATATCCCCGGTAGGGGGTGTGCAAGAGGCAGCTGATTGATGACTCTCTCTCATCAATATTTCTAACTCTGTATCTCTCTCCCTTCCTCTCTGTACAAAATCAATAAAATATTTAATAAAAAAAAAAATATATATATATATATATATATATATATATTTTATTTTTTTAAATAAAAATAAAAATATACCTGCCGAAACCAGTTTGGCTCAGTGGACAGAGCGTTGGCCTGCGGACTGAAAGGTCCCAGGTTTGATTCCAGTCAAGGGCATGTACCTTGGTTACGGGCACATCCCCAGTAGGGGGTGTGCAGGAGGCAGCTGATCGATGTTTCTAACTCTCTATCCTTTTCCCTTCCTCTCTGTAAAAAATCAAAATGTGTATATTGAAAACTAATATATAAAAATATATTATAAGCCCTGACCGGTATGGCCCAGTGGATAGAGCTTCAGCCTGTGGACCGAAGGGTCTCAGGTTCGATTCTGGTCAAGGGCATTAAAAAATAATAAATAAATAAATATATATATTATAAAATATAACTCCTCTCCTTCCTTTTCCCCACTCTCTTAACAAGTTAGAGATTCTTTTTAATCTACCAACAAAAATTTTCCCCGTGAACATAATGATTCTAACTGCTCTCCTAGTGAAATGAGGTAGGTTTATCTTATTTTCACTGAGCCCATAGAATGATTATTACATGGCCAACCTTACAAAGGCAGTCCACAGGGCACAAGACAGAAAATCAAACAGCTATTGTCCTTTGTAACCTTGCCTTTCATAGTGAGAGTTTTTGTTCTCCATAACTTACCTGCAGGCACGGTCAGGGGAATTAAGAATTTCATAGTAGAATACGGAGAAATTGAGAGCAAGACCCAAGCGAATAGGATGTGTTGGTGGAAGTTCTGTCATTGCAATATCACTAGCAGCTTTGTAAGCCACTAGGCTGTTCTCTGCAGCCTCCTTCCTGTCATTTCCTGTGGCAAATTCAGCCAGATACCTGTGGTAGTCCCCTTTCCTAAAACAAAACAAAACAAAAACCAGAATTAGAAACATGCTTTTCAAATGAAAAATAACTGTTAAAATTTCTATGTGAAAAAATATATTAAACAATTAACTGATATACTTCAGTAATTTTTAAATAGTCTCCTTCAGGAATAACTAACTCATCTACTTAATTTTCCTCCTTAGAGATTTCCTGTCAAATATAAGTAAAATCCTAGAAAAATTAACTAAAAACTGAATGACAACAAAAATATATCACTTGATAGGCTAGATTAAATAACAAAAACTATTCCAAAGAAGGGCACAACAGTTTGTTAATCATGAAATAAAATTTTCATATAAAAATGTTAAGACTAAGCTACATAATGCTTTGCTGTCGCTAGTGGGAAAACCTCACTCAGGCAAACAAATGTTAAGTAAATAAAGCAAAACCTAGTGCGTTTTTACAGTCATAGCCTGACCATCTTTAAGTGCTATAATGTAAATATTTCATTAGCAGTGAATTTGCAAATGAGATTTCAAAAATTTTTGAGAATCACTCCTCCCCATTAACTATCCTTTCAACATTAAAGAACTATTCTTATGTAAAAACTGAAACCTTATATAGCAAAAGTGATTATTCAAAGAGGGCCAACATTTAATCTGATATTTTCCCTTCTAGTATAGAACCTACATTTTATAATAGAAAACCTTGGACTCGCCAGTGTTAGCTGCTGGAATGAGGTGTTTGTCCAGTACATCCAGAATGTCACAACAGATTAACTTTAGTTCAGTCTCAACCTGAGGGGGAAAAGTCAAAAAATTGTTTCAATCTAAGAAATTATAAATTGTCACGTACGGTTTTGAAGAGAGGCATATTAAACCATAAAGCAGAGAAAGTTATCTCTAGGTTACAGAAATTATGTTATTTCTATGTGCTTTTAGTCAAGTGCTTTTTAAAAAATTTTTTTACTTTATTGATTTTTTAAGAGGGAGTGGGGGATTGAGCGAGTGAACAAGTGAGGGGAAGAGGAAAGAGTGGGAGGAAGAGAGATAAACGTAAATTAGTTGCTTCCTGCATGTATGTGGACCGGAAACGAGCCCACAACCTAGAAATATGCCCTGATTGGGAATCAAACCTACCACCTTTTGATGTACAGGGTGACCTCCAACCTGAGTCACATAGGCAAGAGCTTTTTAGAAAAATGAACTCATAGTTCAGGTACAGAAGAGTAACACTGATTACTACTGACTAAGTGCTGCACATTTTAATTAAATTTTCTAATGAGGTACTATACTCAGAACCTGTTTTTCCATCTATACACTGAAATACCTACTCTTTACAGGGGATTATTTAAAGATGGAATAAATTCAGTATCTTACACAATTAATATATATATATATATATATATATATATATCCCCACTCAGAACAGTGCCAGGAGAGCTGGAAAATCTATAAACGTAGATTCCCCTTTCCTCCTCTTAACTCGCTTCCCATGCTACTTTGTGTTTGCTTCTGTAATTTCACTGTACTCTGTGTTATAGACCTACATCTTCCAGTAGGATCAATTTCTTTTCTTTCTTTTAATATACCTTTTATTGATGTCAGAGGAAGGGAGAGGGAGAGAGAGAAACACCAATAATGAGAATCATTGATGGGCTACCTCCCTACTAATTCCCAGGAGGGAAATCACACATCCTGGTCCATAGGCCCACACTCAACCAGTGAGCCACACAGTGAGCCGTACAGTTTAACAGTAGCACTACTGACATCTTGGGCTAGATATGTTGTGTGAGATGGTCCTAAGTACAGTATTTATGATTAGCAGCATTCCCGTCTCTACCCATATATGCCAGTAGCACCCTCAAAATTGTGACAACCAAAAATGACTCTAGACCAGTGTTTTTCAACCTTTTTTGGGCAAAGGCACACTTGTTTCGTGAAAAAAATCACGAGGCACACCACCATTAGAAAATGTTAAAAAATTTAACTCTGTGCCTACATTGACTATATATAAAGTAATTCTCTTGAATAGGAATCAAATAAACACAAAGAAAGTATTTTATAATTACTTTATTATGAAATATTAAGTAAACAAAATAGTGAAAAATTATAAAATTCTTGTCTTGTCTGCACCTACGGCACAGTGCCGCGGAACAGCGGTTGAAAAACGCTGCTCTAGACACTGCTAAATGTTCTCTGAGGCCCTAGCTGGTCTAGCTCAGTGGATGGAGCATTGGCCTGCGGACTGAAGGGTCCCAGGTTCAATTCTGGTCAAGGGCATGTACATTGGTTGCGGGCACATCCCCAGTAGGGGGTGTGCAGGAGGCAGCTGATCAATGTTTCCACATCTCTATCCCTCTCTCCCTTCCTCTCTGTAAAAAAAAAAAAAAAAAAAAAAAAAAAAAAAATCAATAGAAGTATTTTTAAAAAATAAAAAATAAATGTCCTCTGAGGAGCAAAACCACCTTCTGGATGACAATTACTACATTAAAAGCTATCAAGCTTTTTTGACCAAAACCCACAGTAAAAATAATATTATTAATACATAAATGTATATACACATATATATGGAACAATAATACCTCATGGAATAATATCTAATGCCCTCTTGATATTTTTCTATTAAAAAAATAACTAGCCAAAACCGGTTTGGCTCAGTGGATGGAGCATCAACCTGCAGACTGAAAGGTCCCAGGTTCAATTCCGGTCAAGGGCATGTGCCTTGGTTGCGGGCACATCCCCAGTGGGGGGTATGCAGGAGGCAGCTGATCAATAATTCTCTTTCATCGATGTTTCTAACTCTGTTCCTCTCTCTTCCTCTGTAAAAAAATCAATAAAATATATTTAAAATAAAAAAATAAAAATAACTAGAGTGACAATCCACAAGGATAGTCTCATCTTTGCACCCATAGTATCCAGCAAATGGTGTGGTGTGGAAGAGGCACACAAGTATCTGTTAAATACCACTAGGTGGTAATTTCAAGTCACTCTATAAAGTATCTTGCAATTATCACAATTAAAATGATTAAATTAATTATCTTCTTGTATAGTTCTCAAAATTGAACATCACCCTCTGCAGCTTTCCAAGAAAAGAGTTCTTCACTTTTGCCCTAAAATATTGTATAGCATATAATTCCTAATCCAGGTAAGCAAAAGATGCAAATCCACTAAAATATAAAAACGTACATACCCATGTGTACAACAAATGTACTAGGCTGTGATCTGAAACCCCCAACACAAGTGGCCCTGTTGGCGCATGGCAGCGTGTCAGTCTCATAAAATACCCAACACCTAGGGCACTTTTCTTTAAAGATATTTGTATACAATAACAATCTCACCATTTGCCGATACTCCCGAATCATTTTTAGTTTGTCTTCTCCTCCCTTGTTTTCTTCTTTCTGTTCAATGCTGCTGATTATTCTCCAGGAAGCTCTTCTAGCTCCAATCACATTTTTATATGCAACAGATAGGAGGTTTCTTTCTTCAACTGTCAACTCCACATCCATCCCTGCTACTTTCTTCATTGATTCCACCATTTCTATAACAGAAAAGTGAAAATCAGACCTCACAAAGTTTTAATACATCCCTTCACAGTAGGTCTTTTTTTCTATCAAACTAATGTAAAACAAAACATAAAAATTAACCCAAAAAATTGCAATTATCAAAATGTGAATTAAAAACAATAAAAGCACGTAAAATAAACTAAGAGCCTAGAGTAAGAAAACCTGTCGGATGGAGTCAGAACAATGTTAAATAGTACCTAGTATACTATGGTTTGTAGGAATCTCTCTCATTATTAAGTAAGGTGACTAGAAATGCACACCTATTCATTTCCCAGTAAAACTAAGCTAATAATTTAAGATAAAGATTAAAAATGTACAGGCTCTAAAGTGTATTTTCTTACTAATAAATTACTTCTAAGTATAAAATTTCCCAAATAACAATCATAGGAAAAAGGGGAAGTCATTAATAAAGCAACCATCATTGAAAGCTCCCATTCTTCCTTCTTTAAGGACATGATCCACCTTATGTATTCATTCATGGGCAAAACTTTTGTTGGTTCCTATTTACCACCACTAGGTGGCGAGCAAAGAAAGGAGCCCAGATAAGCCTTGGGAGATCCCAAGAAGTACTATAGGAAAAAATAGGTAATACAATGAATGAATGCATGGAGAATGCAAAGGGAGAACCAGAAACAGCTCAATTAACACGAATATATTAATGAAAACTACAGTATTAGGGGGGAAATGCCATATTACCTAAATGCCTAAATGCCATATTACCATGTGGCTCTCCAATTTTACTGATTCAGAATGTTGGTGATGAGACCTAAGGATCTACATTTTAACAAGCACTTCTAGCATATATTAACATTTTAAGCATAAGCACACCTTAAGGAACGATGCTTAATGCTATGTTAAATTAGGTATAATTCCAGAAAAATGTTTCAAAAAATTATCCATTCAGGAATATTAGTAATTAGGAATATTAAGACAGTAGGTCTTTGAAAACAGTTCAGTAGTTTTCATTTACAGTTAACCATCATAAGAACTCAGCAATTCCACTCCTAGCTATTACCCAAGAGACATAATTTATCTTCACAAAGACTTTCACACAAACGTTCACAGTATCTTTATTCATAATAGCCAAAAGATGGACAGACTATTGCACAAGAGTAAAAAATAATAGCTCTGGCCTGTGAAGTTCAGTTGGTTGAGCATGGTTTTGTCTTCTCTCCCCCCCCCCTCTCTCTTTCTTCTCTACCCCCCTTCTCCTCTCTAAAAAAATCAATAAACATTTTTAAAGAATAAACACTACTGTCCTATCCAGTTTGCTCAGTGGTTAGAGTGAGTAGTTAGAGCGTTGGCCCTCGGGACTGAAGGCTTGATTCCTGGTCGGGTCAGGGCACATGTGGGAGGCAACCAATGGATGCATCTCTTACATTGATGCTTCTGTCTCTCCCCCTCCCTTCCACTCTAAAATTAATGTAAAAGTTATCCTCATGTGAGAATTAACCAAAAAAATAAAAACAATAAAAAAGTAATAAATTACTGATACTCAAAAGCTGCATGGATGAATTTCAAAATCATCACATTACCTTTTAAAAAGCCAGAACAGCCGGGACCGGTTTGGCTCAATGGATAGAGCGTCGGCTTGGGGACTGAAGGGTCCCAGGTTCGATTCCGGTCAAGGGCATGTACGTTGGTTGCAGGTATATCCCCAGTAGGGGGTGTGCAAGAGGCAGCTGATCGATGACTCTCTCTCTCATTGATGTTTCTGGCTCTCTATCTCTCTCCCTTCCTCTCTGTACAAAATCAATAAAACATATTAAAAAATAAATTAAATAAATAAATAAATAGCCAGAACAAAAAAAACAGTATGGTTCAACTTAAATCAAGTTACAGGAAATACACAACTATAGACAGAAAGCAAATTAAGGGCTTACCAGAGTACGGGAGTGAAATATGGAGCTTGTGCACAAAGGAATAAAAGAGAAAACTTGGTGGGGAGAAGGGTAGAATTAAATGTTCTGTGGTGATTCACAACTTAATACATTTATCAAAACTTACTAAACTGTATATTTCAGTAAGTAGTCTGTTATATATAAATTATACCTCAACAAACTAATGTTTTTAAATGCAGTTCTGAAGCATTAAAAAAGAATATTGTGACTATGGTAATAAGTCTACTAAAAAAAAACCTAAAAGCATTCATTTAAAACGTTCAATTTTTTTAAGCCCTAGTCATGGGAGGAAGAGCTAAATTTAGGGGTAGCAAAGTAAAAGGATACATTTCAAGCTCACTTCTATACTTAATAGTTGATCATAAAAAAACTAACAAATCAAACATGCCTTAAAAGTGAAACAAACTCATACAAAAGACTTGCCAGGTGGGAGGGGGTTTGGGGACTGGGTGATAAAGGGGTATGGAATTAAGAACAAATTGGCAATTACAAAATAGTCCTTGGGATGTAAAGTATAGCCGAGAGAATAGTCAATGATCCTAAGTAATAATAAAAGATATAATAAAAGTTTAATATGCTAAATGTCTGGTTGTCCATTCAACCAATCAAAGCATAGTATGCTAATAACATGCTTAAGGCCACTCAACCTTTGACTTGTACTGACTACCAGGGAGCAGACTATCAACCCATCAACCAGTCGCTGTGAAGTGCACTTACCACCATGGGGCAGATGTTTCGAACAACCAGTTGGTTAGCTTGCTGCTGAATTTCAGCTGATCAGGACTGAGCAAGATAGGCCATACACACCCTGGAGCCCTCCCAGGGTCTCTCCCCAGCTGGCCTACCTCCCGCCTGCCTCCCTCCCCAACCCAATCGTGCCCCGGTGGGGTCCCTCAGCCTAACCTGCACCATCTCGCAACTTGGGACCCCTTGGGGGATGTTGGAGAACCAGTTTCGGCCCAATCCCACAGGCCAGGCCGAGGGACCCCCAGGCCTCTGGTATTGTAATAACTATATATGGTGCCAGGTGGGTGGTGGTACTACTAAGCTTATTGGGAGGGGGGCTCACTTTGTAAGTTACTTAAATGTCTAACCACTACACTGTACACTTAAAACTAATACTGAATGTCAACTATAATAGAAAATTTTAGAAAAGTGAACCAATAATTCACTTTTCTAAATTGTTCCAAAGCAATGAAAAAAATAACCTAGCTACATCAAAAAGAACATTAATTCTTGGTTTTAATATTGTACTTTGTTTACCTGTTTTTATAAACTGATTTGAAAGGGACAAACAGCAGACATCGATGTGAGAGAGAAACATCGGTTGCCTCCCACATGCACCCTGAATAGGAATCAAGCCAGCAACCTGGATATGTGTTTGACCAGGAATCAGGATGATGCTCCATCCAACTGAGCCATACCAGCAAGGCCAAGAACATTAATTATTCTATTCCATTCACCAGTTTATTCTTCTGTTCATCCGATTTTTTTTATTCATTAGATTTTGATTCAATTGTTAATAGATATGTATGTTATTCATATTTTTTATCTTTACTTTTTTCTTCTTCTTAAAGAATATCCTTTAGCATTTCATATAATACTAGTTTGGTGGTGATGAACTCCTTAGCTTTTTGTCTGTGAAGCTTTTTATATGATCTTTAAATCTAAATGATAGCTTTGCTGGGTAATCTTGGTTGTAGGTCCTTGCTATTCATCACTTTGAGTATTATTGCCACTCCCTTCTGGCCTGCATAGCTTCTATTGAGAAATCAGCTGACAGTTGTATGGGTATACTCCCTTGTACGTAACTGTTTTTCTCTTGCTGCTTTTAAGATTCTCTCTTTGGCTCTAGTCAGTTTGGCTCAGTGGATAGAGCATTGGCCTGCAAACTGAAGGGTCCCAGGTTGGATTCCGGTCAAGGGCATATGCCCAGGTTGTGGGCTCGATCCCATGGGGGACTTGTAAGAGGCAGCCAATCCTTGATTCTCTCTCATCATGGATGTCTCTACCTCTTCCTTCCTCTCTGAAATCAATAAAAATACATTTTTTTAAAAAATTCTGACTTTTAACCATGACGTTTTTTAATTATGATGTGTCTTAGTGTGGTCCTCTTTGGATTCCTCTTGTTTGGGGTTCTCCGTGCTTTCTGGACTTGTAGGTCTATTTCTTTCACCAGGCAGTTTTCTGATATTATTTCTTCAAACAGGTTTTCAATATCTTGATATATCTCTCCCTCTTTTTTCTTCTCCCCCTCCTTCTCCTTCTTCTTCTTCTTCTGGCACCCCCTTAAATTGGATGTTAGTACACTTGAAGTTGTCCCAGAGGTTCCTTACACTGTCTTCCTGTTTTTGGAATCCTTTTTTCTTTTTGTTCTTCTGGTTGGATGTTTTTTACATCCTTGTATTTCAGCTTAACAATAACCCACAACCTTCGGACCAACTTACATCCTTGTATTTCAAATCATTGATTTGATTCTTGAGATCCTCTAGTCTACTGTTGAACCCCTGTATATTAATCTTTATTTAAGTCAGCGTATGCTTAATTTCTGACTGGTCCTTTTCCATTTTTTGGCATTCTCACAAAGATCCTTGAAAGTCTCACTAAATTCCTCAGAGGCTTCTAGAAGATTCTTGAGTAACCTTTTAAATTGTGGTTTTGAACTATGTCCAATAGTTTGCTTTCTTTAATTTCTTTCATTTGTGATGTTTCTTTGTCTCCGCATTTTGGCTGCTTCCTAAAAGCATATTAGGCTTTTATTATATCTTTTATTATTTAGGATTATTGACTATTCTCTATGCTATACTTTTCCTGTATTTGTTTCTATGTATTGGGTTGCTGCTAAGTCTCGAGTTGATAGTGGCCTTGTGTAGTTTGTGTCATATAGGGCCCAGAGGCTCAACCTCCCCAGTCACCTGAAGTGGACACTCCTGATGTTATCTCTTTGGGAGCTATGTGCAGTTTTGTTGTAGTTGAGCCTTGATTGCTGTTGGTGCCACTGGGAGGCACTGACTTCCAGGGCAATTGGCTTTGGGTACTACAGTGGGAGAACTACTGGGCAAAAGCCATCCTAA